AACCTCCCTGCGGCAGACGGCAGGCTCCGCGTGGACCCCCAGAAGCTTTAAAATCTCGCTAAACAATGCCGTTTTTCGCATCTGAAGAATAGACGAAATGAGAGAATATATTGAAAAACAACCTGTTGAACAGCTGAAAACAAGAAAATTCTCAGTGCAAATGGATGAATCAACTTTGATAGACAGTGTGGCAGTATTGATAACTTACGTAAGTTATATTGATAAAGGGCATTTTGCTGAAGAAAAGTTGTTCTGTGAAAGATTTGAATAAAGCACCTCCAAAGATAAGCTAAAAAACTACTTAGATGTCAATAATATACCAATGAAAAATATGATATATTGTGCTCCTAATATGATGGGCAAGAAAAATGGTTGCTTAAAATTGATGAAAGATGATAATCGAGAAATGATTCTTGTGCATTGTGTTATTCACAGGGAAAACTTTTGTCACACTTTTTTGCATTTTGAGGTGCTTGTCACCTTCCTGAATAACGTGACGTAAAACGAAATAAACTATAACAAAATATTTCCGCCCATCAAAAGAACTCTTCCTGGGCCGCAGTACATAAAAAAATAATAATAAATAAATAAATAAATAAATAAATAAATAAAAATAAAAAAGAAATAAAAAGAAATTACCCTGAATAACGCTCGTTCGGATTTTCGCGTACTAAGTGTAAATCTTAATAGTTCCGGGGGTGACCTCAAATATGCAAATTATTTAGTGCTAGCTATTAATTAAATTACAAAATCAGACAACACAAAACAGAATTACAAAAACGTACTTTCGCTAAATAAACCTATGTCTTTTTTTTTTACCTATTTGGATTCTATAACCTTCAAAATAATGGGGATAGTTACAATCTGGGAAATATATTCACGAGGAAATATATGGAATTTTTCCTTGTGAAATTTCAGAATATATTTTGCAGTTTTGACCCATAAGCCTTTACATTTAAGGGTCATAATTCCATTGAGATCAGCTACTAATTCAGATCTCTAAAGATATGTTCCACAATATGTACAGGGTGACTGGAAAAAAGCGTCCGGATAAGGAACTGTCATAATTCTTTTGTTGTTGTTGTCGTCGTCGTAGGCCATTAAGGTCAGGGGGGGGCGGATTGTTCTTGTTTTCCAGTGGCGCCATCTATGACCAAGAATTCGACTTCTGCCCCACACACCCGTTTATAGGGTGGACCCATTCATATATCCATTCATTCATCAAAAGATCGTAATTTTGAACCTGAAACGACCCATCTCCAATTCAGTACCACAAACGCGAGTCCAGCACCCTGACAACCAGGTTATCCTGGCCTGTAATAACTCTAAAACCATTGTTTGCATTGCACATAATAGCAGACATATCGAACTTGTGATTTCATTAATTTTAAAGTGCATCTATTTATTCACTAATTTAAATAAAACCTATTTATTCAATTGTTTTTTTAATTGTTTTATTTTAATTTTTGGGTGCTTTTTTCCTGGTTATCTTGTAACATGTTACAGTTAGTTTAAAAGTGTTTTTTAAAATGACAAAAATGAAAATCATTTTCTGAAATTTTTTTTCAAACTCTCGAAATTTTAATTGTTTTTGAATAAGTAATGATCTACTGAAACAAAAAAAAATGTTTCAGGTATAATTTGTTATACAGAATTACTCTTCATGTTATTTGAAAGTTAAAAACTGGAACATTGGATATTTGAATATAGAATAACAAGAATAACATGTTGTTTAGCATAGATATTTGGCGTAGAACCAAGGATTTTGCAGGAATAATATGTAGGATGGATTGAAACTCAAGTAAAAAAAAATATTCACTAAAATATTTCAAACATCATGTATAAATGTTTTTAAATTTTTTTTTCATTGCTAAATGTTATTTTCGAGGGTGCAGATCTGAAATTTTCACAAACAATTTCAACAATGAAAAAAAAAGAAGAAAAAAATTACTGTGAAGTAACAAATTTTAACTAAAATTTAGACATTTCAATTTTAAAACATAAAAAAAAACATTTTGAAAATTGTTCTTCATTTAAATTTTATTGTTAAATTAATGGCCTGGGGCCATTGCCCTCTTCATGCCACCCCCATATGTTATTAATTCAATATGATTCACTTCTAACGGTAAAAACGAAAGAAAAAAAAACAGTGATTTCTTAATTTTTATGGTTTTCTAATTTCCTTTTTAGTTTCATTAATTATTAATTTTTCTTCATCAATTAGAAAAATAAGTAACTAGTTTTTAAAACGCTTAACTATTATTGTAGTAATCAGTTTATGAGCCAAATTAAGTTTAGTGCAGAGGTGTAAGATGTCCCCCCTTAAAAATGTGGGGAAAATAAAACATTTAAAAAGAGAGAATATAAAATGATTAGATTATATTGGAATAGATTCTCTTGAATATAGTGGGGGACAATTTTTTTTTGCTTCATTTATTCAAGTAATCAATCTTGATTAATTCGAGCGTGGTGATTTCAAATCAGAAATTAGTCTTATTCGAAAAGCTACACATTTTTTTTCAAACGATACTTTTAGGTAAGTTTGTTTTTTGTCTAAATGTACAAGTTTGTAAAAAACGTATAATTTTAGATTTAAATACAGGTATATATACTTGTTTGTTCCTTTGAAAATAACATAAAAAAAAAGAAAAAAAAAGAAAAAAAAAGAGAAAAATAAGAGGCACGTGACCTTAACGTATCACATAATAAACTGAAATGCATTATCGCCTTCTTATAATTCCCCACGTAGCAGAGAAGTAGAGACAAAAAAAAAAAAAAAAAAAAAAAAAAAAAAAAAAAAAAGAAGAAGAAAAAAAATCCCGTTGAGGAATATATTTTTAAACTGCATAAAAACTGTAGCTTGTAAGGAGAAACTGATTGCAGATTTTAAATCAGCGAAGCGAAAATATCCAAGATCCGTTCTAAAATCTCGATCAAAAAAAATAAATAAAAATAAAAATAAATAAATAAATATGTATATTCTTATTTCCTTTCTTAAACGGGAGGAATATTTAAATTTTCATGACCTAAAACTTTTCTAAATTTGCTTTAAAAAATACATTTTATTGTTCATTTACGTGAGCAATTCCTCATTTTTCTATTTTATTAACTCTCTTTTATTAACTACATCTTTTGCTATTAACCAGTTAAAAAAAAATGATTTCGTAATAAAAATTAAGGTTTTAACGTCCTTAGTCTCCGATTGGATACATTCTTTGGATGGATGCCTGGGGCCATTGCCCTCTTCATGCCACCCCCATATGTTATTAATTCAATATGATTCACTTCTAAGAAGCATTTTTTGCCAATAATTAAAAAATATCAAAAGATAATTTTTAATTTATTGTATTTTCAGAGGGTAGTAAGTAAAACTTATTGACCTCCCCCCCCCGCCCATCGTAGGCGCCCATGCGTAGAATACGTCATCTTTTAATATCCAGAAATAACAAGTCACAAGAACGATTTTTTTTGGTGACGAATTAGAATTAAAAAAAAATACATAAGTCGGAATTCTGGAAAACACTGTGACCTATACCATTTTAATCAACACAATTCAATATGTTCTCGATTATCAACTTGTATATTTTTTTTGTGATCAATGTTTACTAACATAACCGCGTGGTTACCTCTTTTCAAAATAACACTCGTCTGCGCATGTCAACTTGCATCCCTGCATTCATTGGCTGGCCTTGTTGACACCAGATACAGCGATGTAAGATGGCGATGCAAGAAAGTCTATGTGGTAATTGTTAATGTTTTGTTTCGAATTTCAATGTTTCAAAAACTCATCCATAACAATGAATAGATGATAATTACGGACTTAACTATTGCCGTAAAATATTAAGAATGTTGGAATTGGAAGTGGTGCCCGAACGATCACTTGGCAATGAACAATGGGAGCTGGTTTTAGGTAAGACTTTGTTTTGAAAATAACCATTGCGCACAGCTGACATTGTATCGTCACCTGCATAATATTGTCAGCTGTACTGTACTTCGCAGTGGTACTATTCTAAAGATTCTTAAAATGAAATATATTTTTTTAAGACGTAGTATTCTATGATAACTGCGCATGCAGCTCATTTTGTATAAAATGTAAATAAATAGTCTTTGTTTATGTACTGAATTTTCATGTGTCTGTACTGTATGTTTACTTTCATGCTGTATCTAAATGAAGAACTTAATACACTTGCCTTAATGCTTAAAAAAATTGTAAATAAATATGAACCTTCATTTATAACTCGTACCCCTGTCATTAAATAATACTGTCTCAGTATATTTATTTATTTCTTGTTGCTATGGGTAAATAAATTAGTTTATTGTTCATGTAATTAAATGACTTATATTTATTGATTAATTAATTTGTTCCGGGAAATAACGAAAATCTATATTTTTGCTTTTAAAAATAATAGATTTTAATAAAAAAACAGTATTGTTAATTAAAAAGCTTAATACTTTTAAATTAATTTGTTAAAAAAATAGTTTTTACGAAATTATTAATTTTTGTTTAATTTAAATCATTGGATTTTTTTTAAATGTGTAGTTGAAAGTTATACATGTCTACTATGTTTTACAGTGTTAATTAAAATTATGAAATAATCTTAAAAAATATTTAAAACAAATAATTGAATTTTTTTAATTTTTTTTGTCAGATAAATTAATGTATTGAATGATTAATAATTTTTTTTAAATTTATTTATATTTACTTTAATATTTATAAAAAATATGTTTAAAGTATTTCTGGAACCATTTAAAATGATCATAATTTTTTACATGGTTAAATACACCCACAAAAAATAAATAAATAAAAGAATTGATAAAAAAAATAAAGTAAAGAAGATATTATTAGTTCTCTTAAAGGATAATTAGTTATGTATTTCTAACTAATTGTTTTCTATTCAGAAGTGTGTTATTTACTTGAATGTTTTTTGTTAACCAAAAAATGAAATATTCCAATGCAATAATGCTTATTGCATAATGCATAGCTGTTTTTATGCTGTAAATTTTGTACCAGTCTGCCACAGAATGTAAAAAGTAACCGGATGCATAGTTATATAATTAAAAGGAAATAATTAGCAATAAAAATAATTTTATTACTTTATAATCAAGAATAATAATTTTTTGTTGCTATTATTATCGAATTTAGACATTTTTATTTTTAGTATGTATTCTACTGTAGTTTTTTCTTCTTTTTTAATGTCATGCCTTTTTCCCAAAGTTATTAGATTTATAATTTAGTTTGTATTGTCTTTTTTTTTCTTTTTCTTTTTTGAAAATTCATGTTTTTAAAATTAAACTCCCTAGCAAAAAATAGAAATAGTTTGAATTGCATAAGCTTCAAAATTGAACTGCTTAATGACTCAGAGCTATATATATATTTATATACCCACACAATGATGTCATTACATGAGGATAATGCAATAACATGCTCTGTAGGATGAAAATAACAAAAGATGAAAAGCAGGAAAATTTCTATTGCCTCTTTTATCACATTTTATGAGTCACTGACATCTGTAAGATACTCTTTAGGATAAATATAGAAAATGCTTTAAATGACGTATTTTCTTCTCTCACTTAATTTCTTGAAGAAATATTTATCTAATGACGTAAATCTAGAGATTTTAAATAACATTTCTTTTTAGAATTTTGCAGATGACTGGATAGTAATTCTTGTAATTAATTTTTTAATGTAACTATTACTACCATATAATTATTACTAAACCATAATCAACATTATTTGCTCTTTGATGTAAATGGGACAATTGTCTGTCCCTTTTATAAATTTTTTTTTCCTCGCACTCTAATTATAAGTAGTATAAGCAAAAATATATTTTAGTACTTTTCATTCATAAAACACAGTTGAATTGTTACTAGAAAAAATCTGTTTGATTATCAGAATTATATTTGTACTAAATATGAAATCCAAAAAAAAAAGTTACAATTTTTTTTTTCTCAATTCACACCCAAAAGTTTATCAATAATTGATTTCGTGAATTAAATAATGATGAATAACTATTTCTCTTAGATTTTAATAAATGTAAACAAGTGCGAATTTGAAAAATTATTGTTTGGAAGTGAGTTGGGTTAGGTAGATAATACCTTTAATACAGAAAAGGACAATGGTGTTTTATGCTGTATTTCCTAACCATAAATTATTAACGTGCTAAATTTAATATTTTTTTACTTATTTTGATTTAAAATAATACAAAATAATGAAAAAGTAAGTGAAATGTTTTTTTTAAAAAAAACTCTGCTTCTAACGGTTATTCTATAATATTGTTGCAGCATTATTAGCTCTAAATAACTGACAGTTGAAATAATATAATAATTATCAGATTTGTCAGTGAAAAAAATAAAGACCTATAATATTTAATTAGAAAATTACAAAAAAAAGCACATTATTCCTAGAAATATTATCCCATGTTGGACAAAATCATTATGGTCATAAGTTGTTTTAAGTTATTTGGTTGAGAATTATTATTATATTTTAAATAGTAAAGTAATTAATTTTAAAGATTAATTTTTGTAAATCTGTATTATCTGTAATTTTAAATAAGAAGTGTTTGCACTCACATTTTATATTTTTCTTCAAGAATGTGTCTATCCCCCAAATCATAACTTTGAAATTAAAACTGATATTAAAGATGCAGCTGGAAGCAAATTGCATTAAAAAACATTTTATTGTAAAATATTTGCAACTCAAGTGGAAGAAATGGTTTATCTTATATTTTTTACAAAAATAACAATTGTATTGCCATTTATAGCAATTTCAGGTTTACTATGTTTTGACAAATCAACAGCGTGAAAAATAAATTCTCTCCGAGAGTTATTACACAGTGAAGATGAGACATTCTGTGGAAAAACATTTCCTTTCTTTGCTCAAAACGGTTTTTTATCCTAATCAGCATTTATGGAAAAAAACCGTTTTCCCTCCATGGTCTGCAATTTCCCCCTCTTTTTTTTGTATATTAGTTGTGCCACATTTTTTTTTAACTCATAGTTTGTCTTCATTTTTTAAAATTATCACCATTGACATAACTAGGTTGTAGTCAGGTCTAATCTATAATTTTAATTGATCATTCTAGAAAGATTTGATTTCACAATTTCATTTTTGCACTACTAATAAAAAAAATTGCTGTGTAAATACATAATTTATTTAGGACAGATTATTGTCTTGACCCACCCTACAAGACTTTTTTAGTTATGCTATATTTTGTTGCAAGTTAAGAAAAGACCATTACGGTATAGGATTTAAGTAATCATCCGCTACTGCATATAGTTCTGTTTTATTTAGCTATCAAATTATACAATTATGCTTTCAAAACAATATTAAAGCTTTTAAAAGTTAAACTTATTGGACAGAAATTTAATTCATGCTACTTCTTATAAGAAAAAAGAAGGCCTTTCTACCTTGTTTCAAAACTTGGGGATGTTGATATTCTTTCGCGCTTGGAGCTTGGCATCCATTTAGCTTGCACTTAGATGTAAACAGGCTCTCTCCATAGCGATAATGTTTTTTTTCTTAACTTGCAACAGAGTATAGTGAGCATTATCAGGGGTGTATGTAGGCCGAATTTACTACCGTTTAGCGGTACCTTCACAAATTCAACTTAAGGAAAAACGGTAGTTTCACAAAATACTTTTCCTTAAAATTTTATTTTTGTATCCCTTAAGAAACGATAAATCGTTATTTTTACCATGTTGTGTTGATTTTTCAATATAATTTTTAATTTTTCACAAATTATGTCTAAATTTTCACAAAATAGGTACCTCTCAGAAAAACCTAGACCGACCCCTGATTATTCTTGGATAACTCTCAAATGTTTTTAGTTATAAAATAGGACTTATTCTTTCGGTTTTTTAAATTATTGAAATTCCGCTGTACTTTAAAAAAAATTATAACGTAAGCATATGTGTTTATTATCTTTTTACTGATTTTTTTAAAAAAATACTCTGTATTGTTTTAACATTTTCTGTTTTCTTTCAAATATATTTTTAGGAATGGCATTTAGCCAAGTTGTTCATATTTTGCAGCAGCAATTTCAGTCCATAAAAAATGTACAAGTTCTTTATAGTGAATTGGTGAGTTTGATCTCAAATTTTGTAGAAAATATTATTGTTAATCAATTTTTTTTGATCTACAATTTATCTTTGCCTTCCTTACAATATATTTTTGTCTTATCTTAGAATCCTTTGGTAATGGATTTGGTAATTAACTTATCTCAAGATGGCATTCGATTAATATTTGATCCTCTTTCACAGAGATTGAAGGTAAAAAATTTCAATATTTATTTCAGTTAAATAATATAATTTTTGTTACTAATTTTATTTCTATAAAAGTTGGAAAAGGGTGAAACGTAGATTTTATTTTTTAATTTATGAAATTTATGTATAAATTTGTATAATAAAAGAAAATGATAAATTATAATTAAAATATTTTGCTTTATTTCTGAATTTATTTAAATTTTTAAAGCAATAAAATGTTCCCTTTTTTTTCCTTAAAAAAAGGACTTCCATTCAATTATTTTGTCCTTACTTACTGTTAATAAGCAAACAGGAAATTTTAAGAATTTTTAAGCAATAAAGTTAAAAAAAATTTCTAATATTTAATATTGATTTCTTTAAATTATTTTTATTTGTATTTACTATCAAATTACATTCGTACAAAAAACTAGAATAAATTTTTTCCTTGCTAATATTTATATATTTTACTCTTAATTCTGTTAAGGTGAAAGAAAAAAAATTCTGTAAAAAAGGAAAGGAAGAAAAGAAAACCATCTTTTTTTTTACTTAAAAAGTTTTTAAAAAGATTTTTTTTCTTTTTATCAATTTTTTTTTTACAAAAAATTCATAAACTTGTATCTGACACAGATATTAGCGTCAGTTAAAGATATTTATTTCTATACACTTAAAGTATTAAAATACATTTGATTTCACCCATTAAATGATTATGTTCAATTGCAATTTTTTGTATAACTTTTTATTTTTTTATTTTTTTACAGATTATTGAAGTTTATTGTATGACCAAAACCAAACTGAAATATTGGTACGTCATGTTATTTCACTCTTAGTATTTTTTAATATTTCTTTAACAATGTTATTACTTTTAAATATATTTATATTTTTTCGGCATATTTTTGTGCTTTAAATTAATGTTTTGTTTACAAAAACTGAAATGTAAATACCTTTCATGAAATTTAAATACTTTTCATGAAACGTAAATATTATTGTGCTAAGAACATGCATTTAGTTTTGTTTTTTAAATGAAATTTCTGCTAAAAAAACATTTAAAATATTGCAAAAAGTTTTTAAAGTTTATTGTCAAAAACAACAGTATTTGATTTGTATGAAGTTCAAATATGTTAGATTGCATTGAAGATAATCAACTTGTTTATGCAAATTGTTATTGCGATGGAATTTCTGCTAAAAAAAAGAACATTGCAAACATTTCTAAAAGCTTATGAAGATGACTATCAGAAACAGCAGATTTTAATTAATATAAAAAGTTCAAAAATGATAGAGATTCCATAGAAGATAATCAGTTTTCTTGTAAGTTATCCACTTTGATCAAAGATCAACAGCAAATTAATATTTTTTTGATCATCGCTTGACAATAAAAGATATTATAGAACAAGTACTTAAGTCGTTTGGTTCCTTCCAAACAAATTTAAATGAACATAACGTTGTGACTTGTCATGCCTCAATTTGTTTCAAGAGCTTTGCATGTTTTTTTTCCTAAACATGTTCAAGATCTAGAGCAATGCTCTCTCTTGGCAATTCCTTTTTAAAGCTCATATTCCAAGTTGTGAAACTTGAATCTGTGTTTAAGATACAAAAAAAGTTCATAAATCAATTGCAAGCAATTGAAATGTGAAGCAAAACTGAAAGCACCCTTTCAAAGTCATTCAAAAATCGACTGTTTTGTTCTGTTTGTTGTTATGAAATCTTACCAACTGGCCAGGTAGTCAGTAAATATGTTGTGCGTTATTTGGATCAAGCAATTCCTCGAAACCACTTGAAATGTTTCAAGAAAACTCATGGTTTTTATGAAAGTCGTGAAATAACATGCCTTCTCACACTGCAGGTATTATTTTTCAATATTAGGCAAAACATTCAACAACTATTGTTCGACAAGCACTGTATTCACCTGATATGGCACTGTAAAACTTTTCTTATTCCTACAGCTGAAATGTCCTCTTCATTTCCTACTTTTTTAACCCAGTTATTTGATAAAAAAGAAAATTTGTTACTAACTCTAAAGGGCTTTCACAAAATTGATCAAAAGGCATGTTTTGATGATTTTAAAATACACAACAGAAGTGTATTGAAGTTGAAGGAGAGTATTTTGAAACAGATAAAATAAGTTTTGACTAAGTAATATTTTTTTTTGCCACCATTTTTTTTCTTCACAATTTCTTTTTTGTTATAACATTGTACATTTAAGGAATCCTTTATGCAGGTAAAAAGTTTTTATAATTAAATAGATATTTTAAACTTTAGTAAAACTAATAGTGAGTGCTCTACAATGAATGAATCAAAAGGAAATAGATTGCTTATATTTGCACAGAAGATCTTCCGAAGAGTTCTTGGTGCAGTAATGAAGAATAATGTGTGTAGAATAAGATTAAACTTTGAGTTACAACAAATTCAGTGACTTTAATATAGTGACATTAATTAAAATTCAGATGAGGAGATAGCTTGGTCATATCTGTAGATATGAAAATGAGAAAATAATTTAAACTTTTTTTTTGTTTGAGAAAATGTAAGCTATAATAACTTTTGAAATTCCAACTCAGTTGTTATTTCAATTAATATAAAAAAATAGTTAACTCAATCGATGTCTTCACGGCTTAAAAGCATTTCTATAGTCAAAATTAATTAAAAGTCCAGCAAAAATAATGCTATATAAAACAATCATTAGATCTGTCTTAACTTATGGATCTGGTCTTTAAATCACAAGCAGACCTGCTTGTTCTTTTTGGGAGAGAAGCTTTGAGAAAAATTTTCAGTGCTATAAATGTGGATGGCTTATGGAGACAACATAGTTTTGAACTATATAGGCTAGTGAAGGAAGCTGATATCAATAAATACATCAAAATAAGTCGCTTAAAGCTTGTGGGTTACATCTGTCAGTTGGACCCTTTTTCATTGATATATAAGATCTTCAATTACAAACCAATGGGAACTAGAATTAGAAGTAAGCCTAAGATCAGATTGCTTGATTGTGTGAAAGAGGACTTGAAAATCCTAAGAATTACTCACTGGAGAATAATTGCAAGGAAAAGAGCAGAATGGAGGACGCTTCTAGGGAAGGCTATGTCCCACAAAGGGTTGTCATGCTGATAAAAGAAGTAAAAAAGAATATGATTTTTGACATTGAGTTTTTATGCCTTTCAGTTTCATACTGTTTTTCAAAGTTATTATATGTAATTAAATTTGAGTTTGAATCTTTCAGTTTTGAACTAATTTTTATAATGCACATGTGTATAATGTTTTTGCTTCTGATAAAAAAATTTTAATTTTAGTGGGAATGTGTTTTGCTCACCAGAGGTACCACCTACATTAGAACAAATTGATCATTCCTTTGGGGCAACACATCCTGGAGGTTTGTTCTTTTATCTCGTGTGTTTTGTCATCTTCACTTCATACTTTACCATAAATTTCATGCAAGAAAAATAGGAATTATTCGCAAAATATTTCAGTTTTGTCTTATTATTATTTTAATCCTTTATTGAAGTTAAAAAAAAAACATTTTTTTTCCTCTCCAAAAAATTGTGAGTTGTTAAAGAAATTTTGTATGTAGCTTTCATTTCACTAAATTATCATCGTATTTTCACCACAAAATATTTCTGTGCATGTGCTAGAATTGTAATACTTAGCTACCATTTAGGTTTATAACACTCTCACATCTTCTACACTTAAAAAAAACAACAGTAAATTGTTTTGTTTTTTACTGTGAAATTTTTTTTTGGGTCACTCTAATTGTTTTATTTAATATTTTCCATTTATGTTTAATGACAATATCAAGTTGATTACATTGACGACAAGATACAAGAATAAAAATGTTTATACAGTAGCTTTCTAATTTTTTATGTATTATGTAAAATGTTAAAAAAATAGTTTCAACATTTTCCTAAATGATTTGTAAGAGCTGAAAAAACAAGGGTACTTTATTTTTTATATCTTAATTTAATGTGTGTGTGTTGTAAGCGTCAAATAAGGCCAGTATTATAGTTAGTGTCAGACAAAAATGTTATGCAAAATTTCTCTATCTTTTAAACTTTATTTTAATTAAAAGAACATAAAAAGTTTAAATGTTTTATTATTTGAAATATACAGTGATAAAATATTTTGTTTTAAGAAATAATAAAAACCCACACTTAATATTTATCACAAAATTTAGTTCAAAAATTTTCATCTTTATTTTGAAATCTTTGTTTTTATCCTTAAAAGATGTGTTGATACTAGATATGATAAGCAAAAAAGATGGGAGGTGACATTTTAAAAGCCTTTTATTTTATGATTTGTACCTTTTTAATTATTTAACTTTATATGAATGATGTCTTAGAATAAATTCGTTCTAAAAAATAATAGATTTAAATCTATAGATCATTTGTTTATTAATGCAGTTATCATTCTTTCAGTAGATTTATTAAAATCTATAAATGTACTTGAAGTATACCTTATTTTAATAGTTATCAATTTGCACTGTCATCCTAGATGATGAGAAATTTTTGAAATGAAAAAGTAATTTTGATTTGCTTACCTGTACTTGAATTGTTCAAATTTGACTCATTATTCTTATCAAAACAATTTTACAATCTAGTCATGAATCATTTAGAATCACCATCGTTAAATGCTATTTGCAAGTTTCTTTATAAACTTTAATCTTTTTTTCCCATGAAAACATTTTTTTAATTTAATTTATTTTATTTGGTTGTTGTTATCACTGAATTATACCATTAGTTTAATATTTCATATTTTAATTTTGTTTCTGCACGTTTAGCTTGTTGCTTTAGTTTTAACAAAAAATGCATGCTTTATTTATATTTAACTTTGAGTCTTTTAAATTAATGCATGCTTTTTTTAATTTTCTTTTGATTGCTGTTTTCATGTTAGGTAGGTCCGTGAGTCATTTTAAAAACCCTTTTGAATTTGCTGAATTTAGAAAACCATGGCTTGCGCATTGGCTTACAGGTATTATTATCCAAAAAATAACTAAATGATACTTTTAATTACATTAATATTAAGTTATGTTTGGTATTGGGTAAATTAAGATAGATTTGTTGATAAAACATGCAGGCCAGCACATATAAAGCAAAAATCGAGGGAAAAAAAATGTTAGCGCTATTACTATTATATGACTCTGATATGTATGTTTAACGCTAGAACTGATAGATCATCATTGAATTTTGTCGTTGTTAAAGTTTAAGTTTATTAAGATGTTTAATTATTAAATAGATTTTTCTGACCATTTATTTAGCTGTTAATTCCCTTTATTAGAAGCTAAAACTGAAAATTTTAAGAATACATGACTTATTAAAAATTTTAAGAATATATGACTTATTAAAAATTTTAGAACATGACTAATAATTAACATTTTGGAATTAATTCGAGTAACATGCGATTCACTTGAGTTTGCTTTTGTTTACATTTTAAAAACTAGTCTAGAATTTTTAGCTAAATGTTTACAAAGAAACTTTTTTAATAAGCTTTCTTTTTAAAGTTATTAGGCACACCAATAGTTTTTGTTTTTGAGATAATAATAGCCTGTTCATTATTGCATTTCAATTTTATACTTAGTTATTATTTTGCTTAAAAAAAGTATGCTCAGTTGATGATTCTAAAGTCCTTTCTAACTAGTGATTCTAGAAATTTAATTTTACGATATTGTTGAGTCTTATACATGAGTTAAATAAACTGTTTGTAGAGTTCAAAAATATGTGCATGAAAAACAAACATTATAGNTAAAAAACAACGTTTCAGGATCAAAATGACTGTCCGCTTCCGGTTACGGGAGTGTCCACTTTGCGGAGAATGTACGTAATGGTTTATTCATGGAAGATTCCCGGGGAATTAAAAATATCTCCGTATTGAGAGGCGTCCGTTTTGCAGGAGTGTCCATAACAGGAGGTTTCACTGTATACGAGTTATTAAAAATTTTAGAATATGACTAATGATAAACATTTTAGAATTAATTCAATTAACATGCGATTCACCTAAGTTTGCTTTTGTTTACATTTTAAAAACTAATCTAGAATTTTTAGCCAAATGTTTACAAAGAAACTTTTTTAATAAGCTTTCTTTTTAAAGTTATTAGACACACCAATAGTATCTGTTTTTGAGATAATAATAGCCTGTTCATTATTGCATTTCAATTTTATACTTAGTTATTATTTTGCTTAAAAAAGTGTGCTAAGTTGGTTCTCCTAAAGCTCTTTCTAACTAGTGATTCTAGAAATTTAATTTCATAATATTGTTGAATCTTATACATGAGTTAAAGAAAAAAAACTTTATATAAAGTTAAAAAATATGTGCATGAAAAACAAACATTATTAAAGTCATTTTATGAAGTTCATAGACTTTTACAAATACTAAAATAACTTTGCAATTTTAAATGTATCTATATTTTCAATCAATATTCAAGATAATTTCTTGAGAATATGAGTAAATTATCTTAAATGAATATTGATTGAAAACATAAATATTTTTAAAATTTGACTGAAAAAAAGAAATAAAGAAAAACCGAAAAAAAGAAAAAAATATTTTAAATGTTTCCAAAAATATAATTTACTATTTTATTAATAATTTGTAAGAAAAATATTATTTTACCATTTACTTAATGAAGATATGATTAATGTTCAATATGAACATTAAATAAAGATCATCAAAATGAAAGTAATTTAATTTTATTAACCATACACTATTTTTACATTGTAGGTACTCTTTTAGAAATTGACAATTTTGTTATTCAATATATTTATACAGGTTACAAATGAAGTTTTAGATCAACGCAACATAAATATTATACATGTTTTAAAATTAGTTTCAATTTGGTGGCATCGCAAAAAATTTTAATGAAAGTCTGTCAGTATAAAAACTGGTCCGAAAAAAATTGTTTGTTAAATCAGCAGTAGTAAGACTATGTAAGTTAAATCAGTAGTAGTATTTAAACAGACTGCTGATTAAATACTTTAGTCACACTGGAACTTCGATGATAGAAATATTAACAATATTTTACAAATCGGGGAAACCATCCTGTTTTATGAACTATCAGTTTGTGATGGATCTGAGAGATTTCCACGTTTGGCATTATCTAGTTGAAGCTGTTAAAAAATACATGATGGCTAGCTAATACCAGAGATGCCAACTTGCTTCAGACAGCAGCTGCGCATTTTTTAGTGGTAATCATTTAATGTATGATTCTTGTCTTAGTAAACACGTTTTATAAGGTTTTTTATTTACCACTACTCCTAACTAATTCAAAGACTTATGTGATAAATCACTTTGTTACGGTTAAGCCGTGTTCAGCTTTTTAAAAAATTGGCTAAATTAACTGATAATCTGCATCTTTTTATTTGTTGTTCTCTACCATATTTTCAAGTATTTTATTGAATTTTGAGCAGTTAATATACTCATACGCAGCTGGCTTGGTTGGCATAGTGTTAAGTGACTAAATACGTATTAACTCAAAATATGACTAACAACATAATTTTGTATTAGGTATGTGGGACATTAAAATATTACAAAAGCTTATTTTCAGCAATTTTGAACTCTCTCCTGAGAGCAAAGATCAGAAAATTGCAAACTCTTTTGTCTCATGCTTGTATAAATTTTTTTCTAATTGTAGTAGTTCCTTAAAATTTAAATAATTTTTTTTAAGATAAAGAGAATTTAATGTTTTATCTAAACTTAGCTCATACTTTTTTTTATCCTTCAAGGGAATGCTATATCATGGAAAAAAGTTTTCGTGGCAAATTCTGTTTTATCTCCATTTAATATATTACAATCTAAAGTTTAGAGGAAAATGAGTTATGCTTAACCTGGAGCAGTGTTCTCCCTAAGCGGTTTTTGATGGACGGCCCACCTTTTTTGTAAAAATAAGCTGCCTTCCCGTAAAAAACACTTGCCTTTTTAATATTTACTCCATTCATATTCCATTGGAAAAAAAATAAACAATTGACTACTTAAATGATTATTACATACTGATAAAATTATCTGTGTTAATAGATTTAATTCTGTCTATTATTACAAATATTTATTTTGTTTGGATTATTCTCAACTGGTTAAATTTGTATAAGTTTCTCTTTTTTGGGGTTGGGGAAATGAGTGATTTTAAAATTATTTTTTAAATAAAAAAATTTTTTTTAAAAAAAATGCACCTTCAAAAGTTTTTGTTTTTATTTATAATTTTCAGTTTAAATTATAGAAAAAAAGCTTTTATGTTTATCAATTAATAATATTTTTTTAACCTTTTTTTGAGGAAAGAAAAAAATTGGGCGCAATGAATGTCTTTAATTGAGCAAGTCTTTAATTATTTTTATAAACTTCAAATTATCTCTTATTTTGATAAGGAGTGGGAATTACTTTTTAAAATAAACACATAAAATAGTATAAGAGGATAATTTAAAATTGTTGAGGATCAAATTCAGTTACCACATAATATTACACTTTTTGATAAATTTTAACGATTCCTAGGGAGAACTTTGCCTGGAGTAAGCCATGAAGTTTAAATGCTGAAAAAAGTGCTTTCAAAATGCAAGCAAATTATTGCAAGATTACTTCCCATTGGGTAATTTTAGAAATCTTGCAATAGTTTGTTTGCATTTTGATGCTTGGAAATTTTTTTTCAGCATTTGAGGCTTTATAGTTCACTGTAGGTTTGCATTTTGATGTTTTGAATTTCTTTTTAGCATTTGAAACTTTATAGTTTACTCTAGGTGTGTCCACGCTCACTTTTCTTGTACTTTAAATTACTTATGTAGGTGAAAGAAAATTTGCCAAGAATGGTTTCTTCCACAGTATAGAATCCTCTTAAATGCTTTTGTAATATTTAAAAAGTCCTATACATCTTTTTTTACTCTGCATGGCCATTAGAGCAGTTTTCTTTGGTTTTGCTTTCCAGTGTATGTTTAATAATCTTCCTAATCCTTAATCTGCATCCACTACTTTAAAAAAGATTCCTTTGAATATGCTGAATTTTCAAGTATTATATATTTATTATTGGACTCTTTACTTTTTTTAGAATATCATTCCTCTCAACAAGTCTTTGTATTAAACTTTCGAGGACTCACTTTTGCATTTGCCATAGATCCCAGTGTGCCAGTAAGTTTTGTAACATGCATTGCATTTCTTATCTTTATTTATTTATTTATTTATTTTTTGTTACTGAAACAAAATAGTTTCTTAGTTGAATTTCTATACAGATTTTGTTTACTTTAGATCAATTTTCATTAAAAAATTATGATAATTATTTTATTTATCTGAAATATAGCTTATAAGATAACAATAAAATGATTAGTAATAAAAAAAATTTAAATAATAAATAAACTTGATTAATCATATTCATTTTGCCAATTGTTAAAATTTATTTGAATTCTTTCAATTTCCTTTACATATTTGAGTAATAGTATAAATTATTGTATAAAGTACGTTAATAAATATATTTATAAATTTCTATTAATAAATTCTATATTAGTTCTAAGTATTTCTTTTTATAAATTATTATATTATTAATAGCATCAATTTTATTATATAGGAATTGCAAATAGTATAAATTACTTTTTATTACTTAAAAGACATAGAGTGGACATTTGGAACAACAGGAGAGTTTCCAATAAACCTCTCAACTTAGCTTTATACTGTTTGTTTTATTTTTATTGTTTTTGTAGTTTATTCTAGCAAACGTCTCTACCGTGCAGTTTTCAAGAGAACTCCTCCAGACTAAAAGTCAGGGGCTGTCTGCTGCTATGGTAACAAGCGAGAGTACATCTCTAATGGGGGTGAAATGAAGGAAAGAAGGCGTTGATTAGTTTATTCACTCCAAGATTAAGACAAAACTATTCACCTCACACATCTATTTGAAGTGGCTTTTTCATGTAACCATAGTACCCGTGACGTGAGACGAATATCTGTAGGAATTCTCCTGAAAGCCGCACTACTCTTAGTTTCATATTGTTCATTTGGTTTTCATTGTTTTTTCCAGCAAACCTCTCCACTACCCTTCATAATGTTATTTTGTTTTCATTGTATATTGTCAGGAAAAAGCTTCAAATTATTTTTTGTCTATCGCTTTTGCCTCCCTGTCTAGTCCTATCCTCTTCCTAGAAATCTATTTTTTTATCAATTAAGGAATTGCAGCATGCTGTAAAAAATCTGTGAAACTTTTATTTTATGTTACAAGTTTTTTTAGAATGTATAAAAAATTGCAATAATTTTCATCTAATTCTGCTGGTATGAAAATTGATGGTACATTGTTTTCAAATTTTGTTGTTCTGTAACATTTTATGTTCTTTTTATTTCATGCTTAGTATTTCTTTGAAAGATATTTTTTTTAAAAATGTTATGTAAACTTTAAATGTGTGAAGAGTTGCTATAATCTCCTACAAAGTAATGAAAACTATTGATACAGTGTTAAGTTCTTAAGTATTGTTGTGTTGGTATGTTGCATATGTATTAAAGGTCATATTAAGGTTTTATTGTATTAGTAATAAAAGACCATATTATAATATTTTATTTGTAGAGTATATATAATCTACTTAATTTTCTTTCCCTGCTAATTTAATAATTTTTTTTATAAATTCTTTTAACATTTTAATTTTTTTTAAAGTCTCATTCAAACAATATATATGATGAAAACCCAAATCTGAAATGAATGAATATTAATTTTGCAATGTCAATGATTTTTACTGCCCTCATATGAATAGAATTATATTTAGTGAATCTGAATTGTATTTCTTGGCTCTCAATTAAAAATTATTTTATTTTGTGAAAATAATATAGCAGTGTTTTATTTCGTTTAGTATTATATTTTCCCTTTTTTTCACAGCCCAGAGTTACACCTGGATTAGGAAGCATTCAGTTTGGGTCATTTCCGATTGTCTCCAAAATGTCTATTTACAGTGGAAATAGTCTTTCAGAAACAAGGTATTTTTATAAAGACACCATTCTCCAATATTTTAATCTTAAAATTAGAAAAAATAAATATAATTAAGTTTTTTTTTTTTATTATGGATTAGTTTGCAACTTTTTCTATCTTAAGAACTCATTTTTTTTTCATGATTTTTAAAATTTATATAAAAATTATTCTTTTCATGTTTTTTAGAGTTACAGAACTCCATATATATTGAAAATGGAATTATTTACACTTTCTTCGGATTAAACGTTTGCTTGAAGTTCACTTTAGAAATATGAAAAAGTTTAACCGACAGTTCTGCATGTAAAAAGTCGTATTTTAATCTGCAGTCTTCTCCACATAGCAAAACTGTTTTTTCCATGTTATTAGATAAGCAAATAGTGTATTGGAGGGAAACATTCTCGCAAATTTGCCCGTTTGCTAAATCGCTTGTGGGTTAAGTTTGACTTTTTTAAATTAATTGAACTAATTGTCAAATTTTAGTAATTTTTTTTAATTAATTTTATTAAATTTTTTGATTAAATTAAATTTTGTTCTTAAATGTTATTTATTTTTCGTATATTTTTTCTTATAAATTGTTACATGGTTCGTTCTTAATTTTTTAGGTAGAGGTTTGCCTCTTTTTCTAGTTTTTGTAAGCTTGGTTGGAAATTTTTTTTTTGCAGTTTAGATCGTCCTGCAGATCATTTTATCCTTTATATTTTCAAGTGTTTCATGGCATCAAACTTTTTAATGATTTTACATAATTCCTAATTTGTTCACCTTTGACGTAAGCCATCCACCTGAGTTCTGCCACAAATACTTCTTTGAATTTTTCTCTCAAAAATTGCGAATGCTTCCTCATCTCATAAGTTATTGCCTTATTATTTTGTTAAATATTCCTTTTTTTTACATTAAATTTGTTTAGTTATTTTTTACTCTCTTTCTTTGTCTCACATTTACAAATTACAGAACAGAACAAAACCTTACTCTTTATTTTAATTTAGGAGCTTTTCAATGTCTTATAATTTACAAAGTTCAATCAGATTTAAATTTGATAAGTTAAAACTCTCGATAAGAACTGTAAAGCTTCCTTAACGTTATGGTTAACATAATTGCCTATAAATATATTTTTACTTGCAAAAATTTTTCCTTCTCCTGTTGCACTACACTCCTAAATTGCATTGACTGATGGGGGTATTACAGATTTTATATGAACTTGAAATTTGCTTCTTGATCCATGATGCTAAATTTCTTATTTTTGATTTAAAAAACAATATTATTAAATGTTGTTCTAATCAGGGTTGGCAGGTTTTTGACATGTGACAGTTTTTGACNCCAAAATGTCTATTTACAGTGGAAATAGTCTTTCAGAAACAAGGTATTTTTATAAAGACACCATTCTCCAATATTTTAATCTCAAAATTAGAAAGATAAATATAATTAAGTTTTTTTTTTGATTATGGATTAGTTTGCAACTTTTTCTATCTTAAGAACTCTTTTTTTTTCTTCATGCTTTTTAAAATTTATATAAAAATTATTCTTTTCATGTTTTTTAGAGTTACAGAACTCTCCATATATATTGAAGATGGGATTATTTACGCTTTCTTCGGATTAAACGTTTGCATGAAGTTCACTTTAGAAATATAAAAAAGTTTAACCCATCGACAGTTCTGCATGTAAAAAGTTGTATTTTAATCCGCAGTCTTCTCCACATAGCAAAACTGTTTTTTCCATGTTATTAGATAAGGAAATAGTGTATTGGAGGGAAACATTCTCGCAAATTTGCCCGTTTGCTAAATCGCTTGTGGGTTAAGTTTGACTGTTTTAAATTAATTGAACTAATTATCAAATTTTAGTAATTTTTTTAATTAATTTTATTAAATTTTTTGATTAAATTAAATTTTGTTCTTAAATGTTATTTATTTTTCATTTATTTTTTCTTATAAATTGTTACGTGGTTAGTTTTTAATTTTTTAGTAAGAGGTTTGCCTCTTTTTATAGTTTTTATAAGCTTAGTTGGAAATAGTTTTTTGCAGTTTAGATCATCCTGCAGATCATTTTATCCTTTATATTTTCAAGTGTTTCATGGCATCAGACTTTTTAATGATTTTACATAATTCCTAATTTGTTCACCTTTGCCGTAAGCCATCCACCTGACTTCTGCCATAAATACTTCTTTGAATTTTTCTCTCAAAAATTGCGAATGCTTCCTCATAAGTTATTGCCTTATTATTTTGTTAAATATTCCTTTTTAAATTTGTTTAGTTATTTTTAACTGTCTTTCTTTGTCTCACATTTACAAATTACAGAACAGAACAAAACCTTACTCTGTATTTTAATGTCGGGACTTTTCAATGCCTTATAATTTACAAAGTTCAATCAGATTTAAATTTGATGAGTTAAAACTCTCGATAAGAGCTGCAAAGCTTCCTTAACGTTATGGTTAACATAATTGTCTATAAATATATTTTTACTTGCAAAAATTTTTCCTTCTCCTGTTGCACTACATTCCTAAATTGCATTGACCGATGGGGGTACTACAGATTTTATATGAACTTCAAATTTGCTTCTTGATCCATGATGCTAAATTTCTTATTTTTGATTTTAAAAACAATATTATTAAATGTTGTTATAAATTCTAATTAATTAGCTTGCAGCATTGTTGTAATAATCCTTTCTCGTATTTCAGGGCTCCATCATTACCAAATAATAGTTTCTGCAACCATTGTTATTTAGAAAACTTAGATGTTTTGAGGGAGGGAGAAGAAACTATTGGTGTTAAGCTGAAAATAATAACAGAAGGTATATTCATGTGTTTCTAAACGTCTATTCTATATTGTCTTAGTTTGTTTTAACTCATTAATGCTAGCACTTCTTTTTTGTATGGATTGTTCTAATAACGCATTATATATTTTCAGCACTCATTTGACATGAATTTCATGTATTCTTTTCTTTTAAATTTTATCAATAGCAACAGTTGCTGAGGGATACTGTATACTCTTTTATTTTCAAGCTAAAATAAAAGAGTCTACAATTTAAAAATAATTTTTATCTTGTATAGGAGTAAGATTTTAAGTTTGCCTAGTTATTTATTAATTTGTATTTTGCAAATAATTTAGTAAATACAGAATGTCAAAACATAGCTTGTATAGGAGAGAGTCGGGTAGCCCCGCTCACTTAAGGAGTATTGCTTATATTTCTGTATAATACTGAGTAATAATCAGCATTTTTGTATGTTTCGATTGTTTTATCATCTAATTCAATAATGCAAAAAGAATAAACCAAAAAAAGAATAGTTAAACTTAAAAAAATAAAAATTAAAAAAAACCCGTTTTTCAGCTCCTTTCAAAATGTGTCGGGTAGCCCTGTCCAGTTATAAAAATTGTGTTTTTTGGCTATTTTTTCAGGTGTAAATGAGAATGACCAATGTATTGACAATAGATAAACCTCATTTATCATTTTTATCACAAAATTATTTTATTTATTACATATTTATATACTTTTAGTGAATTCTATCATTTAATAACAACAAATGTCATACTTTTTATCATTATTAATGTATATTAATATATTATAATATTAATATATATTTATATTAAATATTTAACGAAAATAATTTAATTTAAGTAACAATAATTAATAACAATAGTTGTTTTTCAATATAAACTTATTTGGTTGATCTCTTCTTATAAACTTAATATAAAATACTTCTTATAAAATTACAAATTCACTTTGTATTTTGATTGCATTCAAATGCTTCTGTAGATTGATTCGTTCACAAATAAGTGAAAATAAATAAGTAAGCAAATAGCTTATCATAATATTTATGATTTCTTGATATTAAATTTAATTTGGATATATCAATTACATTTTAAAAATATTTAATTTTTCATTTTTAAATATATAAATTTATGTTTCATATAATATTAAAACATATATTTGTTGTTAAAAATGCATATAACATTCAAATTTGAAGCAATAAAATAATAATCTTTGCAACCGTACATTTATCGACGAAATAAAATTGGGCGGTGATACCCGACATTCATGTGAGCGGGGCTACCCGAAATCCAATTTTTTTGTAAATTTGTAATTACTCGAACAATTTTTTACATACAAACTTCTTTCTTTGTGCAAATTAAACTTAAGACTACATACTTTAATGCTGTATGTATAGAAAAAATTATTTTTTTAGTATTAAAATGAAGTTTAATCGAAACATTCAACCAATTTTTCTTAATTTCATGACTACTGTATTCAACATATTTTTAAAACTATTGTTTACCATGTTACCAGCTGCATAAATACTTGAAACTTTGAACATAATCTTTTTTTAATATAACAATTAATGTCCGATGGCCCATTGACTTGAAAAAATATTTTATACATATGAAATTGACAGTGGGCAGGGGTACCTGCTGGGCGGGGCTACCCGACTCTCCCCCACATATAACACAAAATTTTTAATGTTCATTAAATTAACTTAATCAAGCTTTTAACTAAAAATAAAAAAAATGCTACCTCTGTAACATATTTACAACTTTTTAAATGGGTATTTTTTACTGCTTAATGCATTAATACTATGTTACAAAATTTTTTGCTATGGATTGCAACTCGCAAACTGGTATTTTTTCATATTCTTTGCACAAGAAATTTTTAAAGTTGCTGAAGCCTTTATATGCAAATAAATAAATAAATTAAATTCTTGCACTGTTAGAAAGTAAGGAAACTTTATATTGCACCAATCTTGAGTGCTTTATAGCTCTATATGCTAGAGTAGAACTGTGTTTAAAGGTCCATTATTAGTTACAGAGGAAATTTTGTGTTGAAATAAGAGTAACAAGTTCCAAAATGAGTTCAGTCTGATGTATTGAAATAATAATATAAGGTTTTAAAATTTATCCTTATTATTTGTTGCCTTCCTTGAATTATTGTAAGAATTTTTTTCCATGAAATCCTACATAATGTTAGATATTGATAGTTTCTTTTTTTTTCTTTTTGACATTTTGAACTAAAAATTTACTGTTGGCATTCCAAACTTTTAAATTTTTTAAATTAAAAAAAAAATTCTTCATCATAATTTTTTAAAATAGCTTATTTAGTTTCATGATATTTAATGTGCAAAATACTATGGCAAAATTGCAATTTTGACATCAATGTATCTACTAAGTTTTCAGAAAATAAGTGATGTTTCAGAAAAAGAAAAATTGTGAGATATTTTTTGCTTTCTTTAACATTGATTGCTGCTTTCTGTTTTATTTTAGATTTAGACTCAAATAAACTCCTGGAATTTCGCAAATTAGTCATGACAAAAGTTATTAAATTTGGAGATTCAGCACAGGTATATCTTTAGTTTTATTTCTTGATAAATTACCAATTGTTGTGTTTTATTTACAGCAGTATATTTTAAATTTAATTGCTAATAACAAATTTTCAGCTGTGTATTATAATATGTAATGCTGTTCAAACAAGGGGAAAAATATGTTAAAAAGAAGAGGTCATATGTGTAACACTTTCATTTATGCTGAAGTTTTAGATGTTGCCATCAGAAAAAAACACATTCTTTTAGGTGGCAGGATAGCCTGGTTATAACTTTGAGCTCATATTTGTAAGAGCGTGAGTTCGAATCCCGCTGGCTGAAGAATTCTTGTGCATTAAAAGGTGACTGGTGCACATTAAATCTGTTGAGGTCACAAGTCCTCCATGTTCCCATAACAAATCATACCTCTGGGGATACTGATCCAGGAGTTACCTGTCTTCTGGATTGGTTTAAAATTACAAGGCTACGGAGTTGAACATTAGTAGTCGTAAACCCAAAATTGGGTCGGCTGTTCTACGAAGCTTATGAAAAAATAAAGAGTGACATTAGTAGCAACAACAATTCATTCTTTCAGACTTGTGGACCTAATATAATGTCTTATAGTAGAGACTGACTTTTTCATAAATTACTCTAATGTAATGTTAATTTCATAAAACCGGAAAGTTACTGTTTAAACTGAAAGTTGCCCGGTGTTTACAAACATTTAGTTGAGAATTTTATTTTTTAAATATATTTTAAATTTTTGGAAATAAAATTTTTTTTTAATTATGGCATAAATATTTTCATAATGATATTTCAGAAAAAATTTAATAATTTTTTTTCTCTTAATTTTATGTTATCATGTTTCTAGAAAACTACTAATATTAATTTTTAAAAAGTATAAAATACTGTTTTCTGTAAAAGTTAGTTTTTTAAAAATATATATGTAGCCATAAAAGGAAATACTTTTTGTAAATTCTTTTTCAAAAAATGAAGAAACGTTGCATAAAATTGTATTACAAAAGAAATAGATTAGAATTAAATATTTTCTTCAAATTTAGGCTGTGATTTTTATATATATATATCTTTATAAAGAATAAGATTTGATTTAATTTATTATGTAAAAGCAATTTTTCAAGTAACAATAATTATGGTTTGTTTTTACTAGGATGTGACGAGTGCATTAGGATCTCCTAGTAAAGTATTTTATAAATCAGAAGACAAAATGAAAATACACTCTCCAAATTCTCATAGATATAGGAAATTAAGTTGCTCAGATTTTTTCTACAATTATTTTACCTTAGGATTGGTAAGTAGATTTCCTTTACATAAATTTATTTTTATCGTTATCTAAAGTGCCTGAAATGATATTTCAAGACATTGAACTCTAATATTCATTATTGTAAATAGGAGTTTTAAAAGCATTTGAGTAGAAACTCACTTTATTATTTTATAATATTAGTATTTAAACTGCATTAAAAACAGTCAGACCCCCATTTCCATCCAATTTACTTCAAAATTTAGCCAGTTAAATTCTCTTTTTAAAAACAAAGAGAGAATCTTTTTCGAAATTTTTTTTTCTGAAAAGGATTGTCTTTTTATTTTTAAAATGGCATCATAGTAACTGAGACATTTAGGCTTCATAATATCTAAATTTAAACCCATTTTGCAAAATAACTGCCAAATTGGTCTTAATTTATTGACTCTGTATTGTCAAGTTATAAAACCTGTCATTTTAACCTAATAATTATATATAAAATATAATATTAATTACATCTAAAATATAGGTAAATATATTTGCCGCCATCATGCCAGTGGTATTGAAATAATGGAGTCTTAACCTTCTTGACTTCCTTGGCCCACAACAGACTATTGCGTGAATAATCAACTTTTTATGTTTATTAAAATGTGTAAATGGTTAATATATAAGGCGTCCAGTGAAATAGAACACAATTTTAAAATGAAACAATTCAAAGATAAAAGTAAGAAATAAATGGTGTATTGATTGGGAAAGTTGTAAAACTTTTGTACATTATTTTTAAAATAATTTTTAATATAGCTCTCTAATTGATTACAATTTAAATCAATGTTTAATCAGAATGAATAAGTGTGGCTTGCTGCCATAGTGCTGTTATCTAGTCTCACTAGTATGGAAGAATAAAAGGAAAAATATGTAGAAAAAAAGAATCAAAAGTAATGCATTTTAAAGCAGTTATGAAAACTGTTGCAAATTTATTAACTAATGATTTTTTTTTTACTTAAATGTTGCTTCATGAGCTGAGAAATATCAAATTTAATACTATGTAATAATAATTATTTATAATCAGTTTGCAAAGAAATAGGCATATCATTTCATTAATAAATTAACATATCAGAAATGGCAAAATTGCCCATGAGCAATGGCCATTGCGACACAGGCGGTCAGAGACAAGCTAAAGAGCTGAATCGTGACTGTCCTAGTGTACATCAAAAAAAGCTCCTTAAGCTAAACAGGAACAGTTTGAGGAAGATCTTCTCACTGGACACTGCATCCTCAGGAGACTTCTTAATGGGTATTGAAACTAATCCTCTTTGCAGAGGTTGTCACCTTGAAGAAGAGACATCACGGCATATACTTTGTGATTGTGAGGTCTATTCTACTCAAAGATTTGAGCATTTAGGGCAGCACTGCATTGAGACCTGGGAACTGCAAGATGTTCCTGTCATGTGTTTGCTGAACCTCATTTCAGCCGTAAGGCTTTCTTGTTAATCATGATTTAGGGTTTGGGTACAATGGACCTCTGGTCGATGTGCCCTGCTCTTTGGAGCTGCCCAACCTGTAAGTCTAAGATATCAGAAAATATTGCACTCGACTCATAAAATGTTCAAATCATCTTTAAATATTAAAGTTAGTAAGATAGAGTTTTAATTAAATAAGATAAAATTGATGCATACTATTGTTAATATAAATTAGGAAAACTTAGATCTGGAAAAAGAAACTTCAATTTACAAAAATTATTTAGTAAATAGTCCCCTAATAAGCCTTATTGGTCTATCCAAATTGATAGCACATGAGCTCAATCTTCATCAATTTAAAGTTTTTTTTGAATAGATTCTATACATTTTGAAAAATACATAATGGAAAATTTTCTGCCTTTTTATTGTTTTTCAATAGTTTTGAAAATATAACAAAAAAGAAATGGAAAGAGGTAATAAAAATTAGAAAATAATAAAAAAGTTATGCATCACGGATCTAGGGAAGATAATATTGTAGAACCCAAAGCAAATTGTTTCATAGAATATGCAACTTCCTTTGGAATGGCTGAACTTATTGTGTTTTGCAACACTATAATTTTGTATTGCAACTATAAAAATCTTTGAAACTGATTTCATATGAAATTCCTTCAGCTTTCTCTATCTATGTGAATTTTATGAAAAAAACATGTAGTAACTTATTTCTACAGCAAATTATTTTAGAGTAATTTAGTTTTAAAATCAATTACAATTTCGTTTAGCACCCTGTTTTACTAATGCAATGTAGCGGAGTCATTTTCTTTTATTAATATAACTTGTTAAAAGTTTTATACATTTGAATGGTTATCACCCTAACTGTGTTTGTTTAATTTCATATTTAGGATATCCTTTTTGATGCCAAAAGCCACAGAGTAAAAAAGTTTATATTGCATACAAACTATCCTGGTCATTATAACTTTAATATTTATTTTCGATGTAACTTCAACTTGCCAATTGAAGTAAAACCACCTTCTGAATCAGAAGATATGACTCTCATAGATGTATCAGAAAAGAAGCATATTATTACTGCATTTACTAAGGTAACAATAAAAATTTTAATAATGCTAAGTACTAAGCATTTTCAGTAAAGTTATTGCATAGGAAACCAAACTGTGCACAATTTATGCAATAATAAAAAAAATATTGTTTAAGGTTTTTGATAATTTATTTTGTATCCAAAGAGCAAATATGAATATCTTAGCTAGCATATTAATAAGCATGTTTTTAAGTTTATCATAAAGTTATTTATTTATTACTGGATGCAGCGAAAAATCCTAGACGTACAATTTTTAATATAGCTTTGTTGAAAGCAAATAAATTGATGTAGCATTACAAATAATAACAAGAGTAGATTTTCACTGAAAAAAAAATTTAATTGGCCGCCTTTTGCACCGATGCAGCGGCACACAAGCATTGAAATTAAAATTTTCCTCCACCGGTTGCAAGCCTGCTACTTTTAATCTATCCCATTCCTGTCCGAAGCAATCGTTTCAGAGAGTCTATACTTTTGTGAGGTTCAGTACAGGACATAGACTCCAAAATGGATCATACACTTTAATCTATGGGCTTGAGATCTGGCATATAGGGTGACCATTCTTCAGATATCATGTCCGGAAAATGTGTCCTGTACCACTTTTATCTCTTTTCGGTTTGTGAGTTGATGCAGAGTCTCGTTGAAATGTCTAGTTTACACTGCTTATGTTCTTTTTGACCTACAGAAGTATAACAGTCTTTAGAATGTCCTCCTGGTACACTTTTTGATTTACTTTAAAGCCCTCATCTACAAAAACCAGAGGGGTTTTGCCGTTTGAGCAAATTCTGTCTCTGACTATGACTGTCTTGGGATTTTGGCAATGTTCAACAATTGCCAGGTTTGCTTGGAGTATCTACAGACCAGATCCTAATATTCTGGGACTTATGAGCTTGTTGGACGGTAAAGAGCTTCTCATCAGTGAAAAGGAATCTCTCACAGCGCTTTTTTGCAGTCCATTGCCGAAAATTTCAATAAGCATTTGCGTCTCCTCATTCCTGAAAAATGCGCCCCCTTGGAGACCAATTAAATTTATTTAACTCTTATTGTTTGTAACATTTTATTAATTAATTTATTTTTTAATAAAGTTTTATTGAATTGGGTACAATAGACTTCTGGTCGATGTGCTCTGCTCTTTGGAGCTGCTCAACCTCTAAGTCTTATTGAAAGTTGTTTGTCCTGTTTTTTTTAAAATGCATTTCAAGCTGTGTCCATTTTCTGAAACACACATTTCAGGCTTTGTCCATCTTCCGAAACTCACATTTCAGGCAGTGTCCATCTTCCGAAACTCACATTTCAGGTTGTGTCCATCTTCCGAAACTCACATTTCAGGTTGTGTCCATTTTCTGAAACACACATTTCAAGCTGTGTCTATTTTCTGAAAAGCACATTTCAAGCTGTGACCATTTTCATAAAAACACATCTCGAGCTATGTCCCGTTTTAAAATCTCGCGACAATTTAATCCTTTCATGAAAATGAAAAGTCAAAAGATATTTTGGGATAAAAATTATTTAAAATGACCACTAAACCCATATCTTCAGTAAATGTAATACTCATATAGAGATCGTGATGTTCTGCTTGAGATCTAATCAGAATGAAAATGAATTACGCAAAGTCAGAAAAAACATGATGAATGCATATCTGCATGAGATGTAATATTCATTCTGTTGGTTATTATCTGCTGAAGCCAATAATGTTGAGTTTCTTACTTTCCACATAAATGTTATTTTTCTCCACGCATTTATTCTGGGGTGATTTTTCCCCCTTTTAGACACCAGATATCTCTCACATCACATATGAACTTTCTTTTTATTTTACTTAATATCTGTTATCCAATATAAATCTAACTTATTTAATTTTTATGGTAAGAAAGAATAAATTTGGGACTAAAAAATATAATTTGAATTTTAGCATTGTTTCAGATAAAAAGCTTTCGAATTTGCTTTAAGTACATATCTTGTTCTTAATTCAATTAAGACTCACATTAAAACCTGTCTTAAGTGCTCTTACATTGTAAGTAAAAATTTAGCACATATTTAATTTTCTTTTTATAAACTAAAATCCTTCATATCTTATAACCTACAACCTCTAATTTTCTTGATGAATGAAAATATTTTATTAGAAAGATTATCTTTGCGAACTACATATTTCTTTATATTAATGGATTTTCCATAATTTATTTGCAGTGGGACACCATGGAAGAACACTTAAAAAAGCCTCTTGAACGTCCTGTTGTTTTAAATAGAGCATCAACGCACAATGCAACAAACCCTTTTGGTTCAACCTGTTGCTATGGTTACCAAGATATAATATTTGAAGTAAGTATTGTTTACAGAGGGTGCACAATTTTTGACATCTCTCTGAATGTCTATTAATAATTATGGAAATCCAACCAAAATTTTGTATAAATGTTTGTCTATTTTGCAAGAGGATGAATAGTTAGATATTTTTTCAAATAACGGAAGCCTTTCTGGGCGGTATACAAATTCCGTTTTTCTGGGTACCATAGTAAACTAATTGTATTTGTTACCGATGTATAATGTATAACATTCTATGAAATAGCTAAAATTGACACAATAATGACTAACTTGCAAAATATATTTCACACATTATCTAAGCATTCTTTAGAATGACTGCAACCTGGATTAATGGTTCACCCTCCAATGGCTTATGTGTTAAGACACTGAGCTGTCATTGTGAAGGACTGGGTTTTGATCCTCAGGAGTGGCTTTGAGCCAACCAAGCTTCAGATGGATCGTTATTAGCTTGTCAGGATTAAATCATATTAAAATGGTTTCTTTGTCCTTTCTAAAATGATTTTTATTCTAAAAAAACATTTTAAAAAGGACCAATGAGCATAGCCTAGAGAGCACTTGCCCTTCTTTATAATGCCTTGGCAAATATTAATACAATAATTCTTATATTTCATACTTTGCCAAAAAATGATCAGCATTCTATTGAAAGCTGACGTTTCACACATTGGCAGTAAAATATATCTTCAATATAGTAAATAAATTGAACTTCGGATAACTAAACTTATGAATTGGATAACTGATTTATTTATTTTGTGTGGTAGTGGCTCTGAAAAGGATAAGACAAATATCATTTGAAAAGAATATTATTTGGTTTTATAGATTTATTTCAATATCAGCTTGCGTATGTAAAGAAGTTTAATTTTTTTTTACTAATTTTAAATTTGTGTTAAATTAAAATAAAATGCTGTTAATTATAAAGTTATTATAGAGAGTGCATAACTGTAACACTAATTTATTTTTAAGTTTATAATTATTTTATTATTTTTTGCATTTATGCAATACATAAATATTATACCACATAATTTATTCTAAAATTTTACACGGCTAATAAAAAATATGAGATAAGAAAATACCTTAGGGACATCTATAATTGATTTCTATTTTAAGTTAATAATGTCAATAGACTGTACATTAGCAGTATTTAAAAGCCTTAGTTTATAATTAGAAAAAAAAAAACTTTAAAGGAAATACAAAAATAAATTAAAAAAACATATCCATGAAAAATAATCCCCATTATTTACTTTGAACTCCTAACATGGAACAGTGCAGCATATTAACTATGCAATTGTTAAATAGGATTAATTTATACAGTAATCATATGTAATTTACCATATTGAATTGACCCTGGACTTAATATGGGGGTCTTCATGAAGATATGGCTTTACTACCGTAACTTTATATCTATCCTTCTTATTCTACTTATTCATTTTACACTCTGGCATAATTAAATATAACATGAAATGTAGCAAAAGACAATAGTGATTTTTAATTCTTGATATTGATTTCTTTAGCTTGAATAGGGAATTTTGTTTTGCGATTAGTATGGTATTTGAGGATCAAGTTAATCACAATTTAATTTAAGTAATTTGCCATTGTTCTTCCTATCTGTAATTTTGAAGGGAAAAAAGATGTTCTTAAGAATGTTTGGAAAATATTTTTCTAAAGCTTATGAAAACTTTGGATCAGAAAAAATACTAATTAGTTTTGAAAGTAAATCTAATTTAATGTAATGCTGATTGGAAAGTGCTAAAAGTACAGTGAAGCCTCTCGAGAATGACCACTCTCTGTTCCACAGTAAAATGGCCGTTGGAGGTTGGTCGTTCTTAGAGATTACCTCCATTGACATCAAAATTGTTATTGATGGTACATGATTTTTCGCAAATTATTTTAATTTGAGTCGGTGTCATTTTCTTGGTGCAGAAATGCCAGATGTGTTGGCGTCATAAAAATCGATGATTAAAATTTAGCGTCTATAAAAATGATCCCAATTAATATATGTGTAAAAACAAATTTACCAATTATGAATGATAAAGCCATTTTAAATAAATAAATATGTTTTTTGTTTAAGTTTGCATTAAAGTTTGTATCATAAAAATTTGTTGGCTTTAAAAGATGAGAAGTCGTTTGTTTGTTTTTTATAAAATAACTTTTTTGTTCGAATTTGACTTTCAACTCAAGAAGTAAATCATTAATGGAATCGTCTTTAGTGCACTCTAACTGTAACACAGTTGTATCGTCAAAAAGAGCTCTCTAAAATAAGATCCTCACACAAATATTTTGAATACATTTTAATCTACTTATTTGCTTAGTTAATTTTTTTTATTTATATTTTTTCATGCTTCCTTATTTGACCTTTTCCGTATTTGGTGCAAACTTGTGCCCGGTCGCTGGGAGAGATTTTAATGGTCTCTCCTAAAGATTTTCTTCAACACCAAGTCTATGGTAAAAATTCAATGCTTCCCAAAAGTGGTCGCTATGTTCTTTCCTGGAGGTTTCACTATAATAAAAGCAGAGATGCCAACTGCTCCAGACGCGCCATAATTATTTAAAAAACGGTAAACAACTACATACTAAATTTTGCAAATATTTGACTAATTTTGTTTACTTTTTAAACGGTGTCGCATAACTTGCATGCAAAAAAGTGGCCATTTTTATGTAAGACCTTAAATTATTTAGAAATAGTGGTGGATAAAAACCTAATAAATTAATTCATTAAACCCAGATTCACACATTAATAAATTACCACTCGAAAACATTTATTTGCTGTCTGCAGCAAGTTAGAATCTCTAATAAAGGGAATGTTACTTGTATTAAGTTAAGTCTTTGTGTACACACTTTTTTTTAAAAAATTTTATAATTATATTGTAAATATTTTTAATTTTAGGTAATGCCTAATAACCATCTAGCTTCAGTGACCCTGTATCAAAGAAAGAAACTACAGAGAAGCGTTGATGTTTGACATTAGGCTTATAATATGAACTCAATTTTTACATTATTTATAAAGAACAAGGATCAGAGACTCTTTTTCTTAAATGAGTTTCACACACTCATTCATCTGTTTAAAATACTGAAATTTGTATTCAGCTTGCTCAGCGCCATCTATTATTCACTCCAAAAGGTGCATAAATAACTCGAGTACCTTACATAAGCGAGACGGATCTGCAGATTGTAATAAACACTGTTGCTTCTTTAAGTCTTTTTACGTGAACATGCCTCAAGTAAAACCAGTTTTTTGAAAAAAAACTGAACCTGACCAAAGTGAGATAGATATCTAAAGTAAATGTACTTCAGATGTATAGTCATTCTAAAAGCATATTTTAAAATTTTGTGAAAATGTTATTTTTAGCTGTTGCAATTGAATTTCCTGTAATAGTCTTTTTAAACAAGTATCAGTCCTTAAATTGTTGCTGTGTAAATATATATATTCATTATTTATGTACTATATCCACCAATTTTAATTATTTTTTTTCTTTTTAGAAATTCTCTTTTTTTTAAAAAATATTTTTGAAGAATTATTTGTTTGAATACTTGCTGGAGATGCAAAATAAAGAGTTTTTGCTCTCTCCTAGGCCATGATTTGTAGATCTTTAAAGATTTTTACTTGTATTTAGGTTGTGTTCAAGTACTGTATGCCATTGTATATGTTATTCTCTTGTAAGAGCCAAAATGAATGGATATGAATGTTGATTGGTTCAAAAAGAAAAAAAAAAATGTTTTTATACCTTGTATTTTTATGTATTATGTCTATCGTTTGACTTTTATTCAATAAAAGATTTGTTTACTTGTTATGTACTGTGGTTTTGATACATGTAATGTCATACATTCTTTGATCGCAAAATTTGTTGAAGAGCCCAAAGTTGCAAAAAACTCGGGTTTTTTTTTCTTTCAAAAGAGAGGGCAGGGATATGTACCTTATTTTAAAAAAGCCTATTTTAATAATTAAGTTTAATTTTATGAATTGTCTTAACATATAGGTAATTAATACAAATAAATTGGTGCTAAAGTCTGAATAAAGTTTCTTCTGACATCACAATACAAAATGTTATACGTACTCACATACATCTCACATTTGAAACTTATTTTAACACAGGATTACTTTTTATTTATATTCTACTCTTAAAAAATATTTGAGGAATTTTTTTGTTGTTGCATAGAAAGCAAATCAAAGGCCATACAGTCAAATCTAGTCAGCAAGGTGACTCTCTAGTCTCCAAACACAGTTTTTTTCGCCATAAGTTCATTTTTTTTTAAGGTTAGACTACATATATATTTCAATAGAATAGCTCTTTAATATAATAGAGGATAAAAAAGAAATCAGTTTTAGAAAAACCCACTTTAGGGTTGGGTTTTTTTTTTGCAACCATGGAAGAACTCAGTGATAAAATGTTTCTAAGTGACACTAGAATTTATATAAAGATTATGCCTTGCCTTTATTTTTTTATTTAAGCAATTAGTAAAATCTATTTATCTCCAACACTTTAATACACACCCTCCATAAACATTGTCAATATTTTTTTTGAAGACTTTTTACTCCATCTTCCCCTCTCACTCTTCATATATCACACTTCACCATACTTCCTATTCACTCTTGTCACACTATAAAACATAAACTTGCAGTTCAGGAACAAGCACTATGTTAATGATTTAGCTATATTTTATTTTTAAGCTTCGTGTATTTCAATGACATTTGTGAGACTAAAAATTATTACATGCATACTTATTTTGATGATCTTAAGTGTTTTTGATTCAACCAAAATTTGTGACCCCATCCTCTTCTTTGTCACAATATATCACACTTCACTGTTACCCCCTACTCACTCTTGTCGCGCAATAAAAAATTATATTTGCAGTTCCGAAACAAGTACTAGGTTAAAGATTTTCATATTTTACTTTTAAACTTTCAATGAAATGGGAGCATTGCAATTGTTACACGTATACTTATTCTGCTGAAAAAAATTTTAATTGATTTTAACGAAAATGTTATGCTTTTTGTTATTTCTCCTTCTAGCTTGTCATAATTTCACTGATCCCCTCCAAGCTTGATATCACTTATGGTAAAAAAAAGTCTGTGTCATAGCGTTTATTCTCTTGACATTTTAATTTACTGCCATATACATATGAAACATTCTTCCACTCTTAAAACACTTGAAAGACATTCATTCAATAAAGTATGTGAAATTTAATGGTTGGTGTCGTGTAATGGACAGAAAATAATTGTAAATGTGATCAAAGGTCCTATAAACAACATCTGCAATTTGAAGACAATTTTCTTCATAAAAGTCCGCCCGCGGATTGTCACTTATTTGCTGCAATTGCGCCAGTATAGCCGGACAGTTGAAAAGATGTATGGGGTTAGTTCTATGTCTGGGCAATTTTTACAGAGGCAGTAAGTCCTTGTTCCATCACCATGAATCTTCATTCCCCTAAAGTGTCCTGTCCGGAGTCTTGTTAGTGTGCTGGTGAGAGTTCTATTGGTACTGATTTCAGGGATTTGGTGTACGATTTGGATTTTCCTATCATTGAATTTTGCCTTAGTCACTGAATTGATATCGCTGAGAGTGACATGAGTAACTTTGCTTATGAAATTTAATAATACTGATGAAGACAAGATCTTTTCCTAAAAAAATTCATTTTACTAAAATTTTTTCCTTTCACTAATTCGTGAATATAATAATTAGAAATTGGCACTAAAATTGTCAAATGCCAGATGAAAAAAACAAACAAATTTAATTAAAAAATGAAAAGTAGCTAAACATGTTAAGCTATGAAATTTTAAATACTATTTGCTTGAGTAGCCCAATTACAAAATCTTCTAAATACTTTTTAAATGAAGCATGAAAACACGGTGATAGCAAATTACGTTTACAAGAATTTTCTTTTGGGGTTCCCACAGGGTCAGGGAATAGAATGATTTTTGGAATAAAAGTGTAGGTATTATCTAAAAAGTGCAGGGTTCCATCATAAAGTACCCCACGATGGCAAATTTCCCCTAATACTTGATTGAAGAGTTCCCTTCTGGATTGGATTCAAAATTACAAGGCTACGGAGTTGAACATTAGTAGCTCTAAACCGAAAATTGGGTCGGCTTATCAACGATGGTTATTAAATCATCTCTAGCAGAGGGCCACATTTGTACCTTGACCTGCAGATTCTGCACTTCTAATGCATAGTTGGGGGGGAGGGGGGAAATAAGATAGAATGACATAATTAAGAGAAAATTAAATCAGAGAATTCATATATTGTATTAAATGACTTTATTCACATTTTGAAATACAAAAATAATAGATTTTGAAGTGATTCAATACTGATGCATCAGACTGACTTGCACAACAGATCTTTGGTATTATGTACAAAAAACATTTTGCATAGTTATCTTTACAATCAATTAATTATCAATCTAAAACTATTTTTTTTATTCGTACCATTAAGAACGTTTTGAAAACAATTTATAACCACAGGTCCATTTCGTTACAAATAAAATCGTTATGTAGTAAATGCAGTTGTAAACTACTAATGTCATCAAAACATGTATCATAACATTAGTAATACAAATTTAAAATCTTATGTTTACAAAATTGCAAATTTTGTAGTAGTAATAAAATTTAATTCAGTATAATTTTTTTTTAGTCTATCAAACGATTCAGTCAAAATTTATTCTTCCTAAGCTACAAGTATATGCATACAAATAAACATTGTAATTTGCACAAAATTAATAAATTTTTGATAAGTTAATTTTCAAAATCAATATTACTGGACCATATGTTAAAAAAACTTTTATCATAAATATTGTTTAAAAACTGATTAATTCAAAAGTATTTGAAAATACAACATACTTGAAATATATAAGTTCACATAAGGAAATGTAAACAACAATGGTGTAGTTAGTGCAAAAGCTCAATTTTTTATAGCGTAATTAACTACCAGCATAGATTAAAACTTTAAAATAATAATAAAAAAAAAATGACAGTAAAAAATGATTGAATACCAGTCAATTAAAATATAATTATTCGAATAAAAATATTAATATAAGTGTAAAAGTACATCAATCATCATGGGAGATATTCAAAGGAAAAAAAATAATAATAATAAAAAAAAAAAAGAATTACAGCAAGTTCAGAAAATTTGAAGTATTTTTAATATCATTTCTGAATTAATTAATAAAGAAATTATAAATATCAATCAAAAAATTAATAATTGAAAATACCATGTTTGTTAGAATACAAATAATCATTTATAATAGAGAATTTGTTGTTGAAGTAGTTACTGTTCTAAAAGCTAACCTGCAATATATGTGTTTTAGAAAAAACCTAAAACTATCAGAATAAAAGTATAGAATAAAAAACTGTTGAAATAAACTAATTATTAAAAAATTTTTTTTAAAAAAAAAGCAAATTTTAAGCTATGGTTTGTGTTACTATACCCAATAACTTGTACTTAAATATGTCTAGCACTGTAAATGAGTTGTTACAAACTTTACTGATTACTTTTGTACTTGAATAATCGTTCATTGACAATTAGTAGAATGGCTTCAATTTCCTTTTCTTAGTTTTATTTCATGGCAGTGAATCAACTTTAATATTGCATCTAATGACACATCCCACTTTTCAATAATTTTTTCGTTCTAACAGCAAAATTGGAAAATAATTTTCAGAAATACTTTTTCAAAAGATTTTTATTTATTTTAATTAAGCTTTTAAATAAAATTAGATTAGATTTAATATTTTGAAAAAATTATGAAATATCTATAACATTGGGGAAAAAAATATCACATTTATCAAAGAAATTTAGACAGATTATTAATTTTGATCTGATTATCAAATTATCTTAATGCAAAATTTTTAGATTATTTAGAAATTGAAACATGAAAAAATTTTCACACTAACATTCAATATTAAAATATGGGATTTAAAAATAAATAAATAAAGTTTAAAGAGATACATAGTAACATATTTTATGGCAGGCCTCAAACTAGTCTATACAAATAAATCTATTAACCCTCCGAGTGTTAGTCCTGAATTTATCTGAACTTTGTAGGCTTTCCTGGGTCAAAAAACCTGGTTTCTCCATGTTATTGTATGGGAGAATATTGAGTAGCAGCAAAATTTCTGCACACTTTTACCCATGGGCTTAACACTTGGAGGGTTAAATCAAATGAATACAAGAAATGATGATAAACAACACATAAATACAAATGATAAAAATATAAATAGGCTTAATCATAAATAAATTAGTGCAAGAAAATTGATACAATTAAAAACTAAACACTTATGTAAATCCATAATAACAAAAGACAAATATCATTTTAAATATTACAGCAGATTAAATTTAATTTAGCTTTCATCAAATTATTTTATAAAATATAATTTTTTAATAACAAAACTTTATGAATGGAATGTGAAAATAGACAAAGTTAAATACATAACACTACATCTTTTGTAAGGTCTTAAAACAATACAAACGTAATGAAAGTTTAGGTTTATCACTGTTATTTGCTTTAAACTCTTTTCAATAACTAGTTTGCATTACTGTGTAAAAAATAAATATATTTCTGCAATTATTAATAAAAATGAATGACTAGAAACATACATTTTAACTAAACTTGAGGATATTAAAATTAATATTTGTTTAAAAAAACAACTTGACTTCTCAGTAAATACCTACTTTGTTTAAATAAAGCTACTAGTTAATTTTTATGAAAAATGCAAACCAGTTAATTTATAAAGCACAATCATACACATAAAAACATTTAAATGTAATACAGATAATATTTACAACATATTCACTAGCAGTTAAAATTATAGATAAAAAGTGATAATTTTCACATTATAAATCAACTTTTATTTCCTCTGGTAATACGGAAAGACCATTAGGTAATTGTGATGAACCGATTGGGAGTTTAGACATGGGTATTTCTTTGTCAATAGTGAAGTCACTCAGAACGCTGAAATTGTCTTTAGATAATTCTTTAGAAGGAACTTTGTCAGGAAGAAAATTTTTATCTGATTTAGAAGGATTATCAACATCCTTTGTCAATAAAGTGGTCAACTCACCATTGTGACCAGTGTTAACATCTTTAGCAGGTTCATTTTTGCAACTTTTATCAGTCGTCTTTGTGTTCAAGTTTATGAATAAGTCTTTGGTATTTTTGCTATCGAGTGAGTTATTTGTGGCAGTTTGCACTGATGAATCAGAATTGCAAAAGTTTGCACTTGAATTGTTTTCTACGGTTTGGGATATATTAGGAGAGCTGTATGTGTTATCAGATGACTTAGTTGATATGCTATACATAGCTTTGTCATGATTCTTCAAGCCTTCCACTTTACTTATTTTCACAACGAGGCTGGGTTTCGCTTTGTAAGTGACATTTGAGGAACCGACGTCTTCATAATCAGATATGTTAATTTTAGTATACATTTTTTCATTTGAAGACGATTTTGTAATTTTTAACTTAGGAATCTTGAGCTTAGGAACCCATTTTTTACTATCCTTATCTTTTCTACTAAAAATATCAGATAAAACTACTACAGGCACTTTAGTTTTACTATCAAAACAGTTTGAGTCATTTGTCGAAGAATCACATGACAGCCTTCTTATTTTTCTCGGTTCAGAAATGTCCTCCTCAGCAGACCTCTTAGAGCTGGTTTCCTCTTCTTCTTCATCAGAATCGGGAAGATCATCGGCCATTTCTTCATCGTCAAACAAAATAATATCCTCACCGTTTTCACCTTTGGACCATATTTTAAATGATTCATACTTCATGAAGCATTGGGCAGGAAAGAGCTGATTGGGTTGGATGTGCATCTTGATGTGGGTCTGCAAGAACCCGCTTTGCATAGAGCTATAATCACAATAGGGGCACTTAAAGCCGTCTCGAAGCCAATGTCGCCTCATGTGACTCTGCACAGCGTCTCGACGTGCCTGGGAATAGGGACATCTATCACAGAGGTATATTAATTTCTTCTCTTCTAAGTCGGGAATATTGACATTTTCAGATAACGGATGTGCTGCATGCAAGATAGGAGAAGTCGTATTTTCAATTCCAGGAACTGGTGTAGCATTTTCTGAATCTGCCTTGGGGAGATGAAGTCGTTTGTGTTTGATCAAATTAGCTGCAAACCTCACAGAATAATCACAATGCTCGCACACAAATTTCCAGTTCCTGCCATGGAGACTGAAATGTCTATCATATCGATCTTGCTTGTAAAACACCGCAGGGCATTTTGGACAGGGAAATATTTTTAGGGGTGCTCTCTTAGCGGGAGGAGGCTTCTTAACTGGTGTTTTCTTGGGGTGAACAAGCATGTGAGTCGTAAGATTCGGAGCACGATTCACAGCATAATCGCACTGTGAACACTTGAACTGCCCATCACTTCCGTGGAGTGATACATGGTAAACTAAAGTAGCACTTTTAATGAAGACGGCTGGGCATAGTACACACCTGTGCAGATTACTCACAGCATGACCCGTTTTCTTCAGAGCAGTATTCAATTCTGATACCTCAAGAAGAAGCATTTGATCGATTTTCTTTACAATTGAAATATTAACAGAATCGTTAGCAGGTGTACAATCTGGGGCAGGATTTTGTGAGGAATTTCTGCTAGCAACGTACTCTGCGGAATGGACAGTCATGTGTTTTAACAAATGAGGTTTATGCTTTGCTCTATAATCACATTGCGTACACGGGAAAGGAAATGAAGCACCGTGGAACTTCATATGGATATCTAAATCATTTGAACTCTTGAATTGAGCAGGGCACTTCATACAGAAATAGCTGAAAATCTTCTTCTTTATAACTACGCCGTCTTCTTCAACAACATCTGAAGGTCTTTTACGAGTTGTCTCGTATTCCATTCCATGTTCTTCAATGATAGTTAATTTTTCTGATATTTTTTGATGTATCTTTAGATGATTTGTAAGACCGCCTTGATTCAGACATTGATAATCACAGTAAGAGCAAGCAAACTTACCATTATTGACTATCACACCATGCATCTTTTGATGAACCCTAACATTTGCCTTCTTTTTATTCATCATAGGGCAATAACCACATTTAAACATTTTTACAATTAAGTCACCACGTTTCACGTAAACGACGGACATTTTATCATAACCTTCGTCCTCATCTTCCAACCTAGTCTTCTCAGGGGTAGGTTTTGACTGCCTCTGACGAGGACTAGAATTTTCGGATTCATTGCCAGGTTCATGAACTTTCATATGTTGAGTTAATAAATGTTGCATAGTTGCCCAGTAAGAACAAACAGTGCATTTAAATGGAGCAGTGGGATTAGGTCTGTGAAATTGTTTGTGGTATAAATATTGCGTTTTATTGTCAGTTTTATAAGGGCAACCCTCACATACATGACGCTTTGTCTTTTGAGGAGAGCTAGATTCTGAAGTACTATATTGATTGAGAGTATCAAACGATATAGCTATGGAATCATCAGCTGAATCATTTGCTTGAGATGAATAAAAGTCATATACGTCACTTACATCATTATCCAGAGATAGATTTTCAGTTTCACAGCTATTTGAATTTGAATATTCGGGACTTTCATCAAAAGCGTTATTGCCTGTCGCTGTGCCATCATGAAGTTTCAAATGTCTTACCAGTGTTTTCTTGAATTTCACGTAATAAGGACAGTAATCACACTTGAAAACTGCACCCTCCCTAGGTCTATGTTGTTTCATATGGAATTTCATGTAGAACTCTTTATCACATCTATAAGGACATACTTTGCACTCAAAAAATTGTCTTTGATTATTTTGGTTCCTTTCCTGATTAGGTTTAAAAGCTTCTTTAATGTTGGAGCCTGTGCCAGCAAGTCGCAAGGAATGACCCTCTTGGACATAATTAATTCTATCTTCCACTTCATTCATATAACCATTGTGAGAATCTTTAACATGCCTCACAATGACGTGCCTCCAATTGGAAGATATTCCACACGCACGACATCGGAATGGTTTTATACCAGCGTGGAGAGACAAATGACTCACCACAACTCTTTTTGTTGCATGTTTGAAGTCACAATGTTTACAAGTAAACATTTTTGAATCTGTTGATTTTGAGGGAGGAGTTCCTAGCATGCTGTATTGATTGCCGTAAAGATATTCTGCTGCAGAACCCAGAACTTCAGACTGATCTGGTATATTTATATCAGGAGTAACAACAATATTTTCTGGTGCATCTTCAAAGCTAGAACTTAGATTTCTCGTTTCCTCCAAGTTAGAATTAACATTTCTCGAATCTTCAAAGTTAGACCCGATGTTCCTGAAATCATAGGTGCAACTTTTGGGAGGAGACGGTTCCATATAAGAAGTCCTAGACATGTTTCGCGTTGCTTCAGGCTCTGGCAGAGTGCTAGGCTCAGAGAATTTTGGGACAACAGCTCTAGCTGATGTTGGCTGATAATTAATATCAACAAGGTATTTCTCATATTTTTCATAATTTCTTCTGCCACTTTCATCTGTTAAAAGCACACAAGCTTTATTGTTGAATTTATCACGACATCCTTTCAAGCGAATGTGTTTAGTAATATCCCATTCCCAATTGGAACTGTGATTGCAAACTGAACACATGAAAGGCCGGCGATTAAAATGTTGCACGATATGAACATGGAACCTTGATGCAGTGGTGGTGCCAAAATCACAAAATGGACATTGATATTTACGCTTAGTGTTTGGAGCTTCTCCTGGGACAGATTGCTCACTCATTTGCTGCAAAGGTGACTTGTAAGATCCCAAGTCCATACCAGCATTAGCTTCTTCAGACTCAACATCAATAACAGGATCTAGGTTCGAGTCATTAACAGAAAAGTTTTCAAAATCATAAGGGTCATACAAATCTGAACTGGTACACTGACTCGAAAATGAATCCTTAGTTGTCAAATCCAAAGGACTCTCTTCTGCCGATCTGCGCAGAGGTGTTGACGATGCAATTTGAGTTATTTCAATTTCTGGGCCAAGATCTTGCCAACTTTTAACATTATCTTGTTCAGAAGAATTTTTAAATTTAGACACATTATACTTTTTGTTCGCAGAAGGGACTTTAATGCCATGATATTTCATAAGGTGACGATTAAGATCACCTTTCCATTTGCAATGATATTTACATTTATGACAATGAAAAGGCTTTTCTTGGGAATGTACACGCATATGCCTTTGTAACTCTGATAGCCATCTTGTTTTATAACCACAAACATTGCATGTGGGTACAGACTTACTTGGTTTAGCAACTGTTATAGTTACAGAATCAGTAGTTTGAGGTTTATCATTATAGCTTGATACTCTCAAGTGTCTCGACATATTAGTTGATGAAGCAAAAGCCTTAGATTTAAATAAATATTTATTGACAGATGAATTGGGAACTGAAGAAGGCACCGGTGGATTTAGTGGCTTATTTAACAATGTTGATAGCATAGAATTTTGATTTGTTTGCATGGGAGGCTTATTGGTGACATTTTGTTTCAGAACTTGTTGATAAATAGGCAATACAGCTTCGGCAGTAGGCTCTTTAATGGCTGGCCTTCTGCGATTAGGCTTCATTAAGTCATAAGCAGCAGCAAAGCTGCCAGCTTGCGAGTTTTCTTGATGAACACGACGCAAATGCTTAGACAACCAAGCGAGATGCTCGAAACGCATACCACATAAAGGACATGGGTGTTTCTTTTGATGACGATGAGTCTCTTCGTGCTTTTTCAACTCAAAAGGCCATGTTGCTTTGTAATCGCAGCTTTTACACTTTAAAGATTTTTGATAAACTTTATCATTTTTATAGGAAGTTCCAGTTTCTCCTGATTCCGAAAAGTCGTACGATTCATTGTTTTCATTCATTGCCATATAATCATCATCGTCCTCATCCATTCCAACGACATCAACATCTTCCCACTCAACTGAATCATTTGGTGCATTTTCATCTTCGTATTCCTCTTCTTCGACCCCATTAGCATTGTGGTGATGAGTGATATGTGACTTAAAAGATTGGCGAGTTGAGGTAGTAAAGTTACATTCAGTACAACGAAAGGCACCTTGTGCGCCCTCTTCGTGATTCTTCATATGCCTGTCCATATTCCACTTATAGGCAGTTTTGAAAAAACAAAATTCGCACTGCATTTTGGGCAAACTGTGATATTTTATATGCTTGGTGTATCGACCTTTTTCATTAGTAACGTAACCACATTGAAGGCATCTATAGAATCTCTTTTTCAAATGAGCTGTTTTTTCGTGGTGCAACAGAAAAGCTTTATTGCGTGTTCTATAATCACAGGCAGAACAGTTAAAAAATACTTGAGTTTTTTTCTGAAGGGGTTTTTTAGAAGAAGAATTGTGACTGTTTGCTACTGTGATATTTTGAGACGGTAAACCAAGGTTAAACATATCTGGTTTAGATTTTTTGGTGGCCTCCAAATGTTTTTTGTAGTCTGGGTCCTTTTCGAGTAATTGGCGATGAACAAGATTGCAATGTCTATGCAACTTTTGTACGTGTTTGGATGCATAAATGCAATATTTACATTCAAAGATATTTATTTTTTCCCCATGAACATTACGGAGGTGATGCAAATATTCCCTGGGGTTACCAGTCAATAAACCACATTGATCACAACTATAGCTTCGTTTTACTTTAAGAGGACCTAAATTGCAGACAGGTGAGCTAGAGACCACATCATTCATAGCCAGACTACCAGTAGATGTTTCTTCACTGTGCCCATTTGCAATTGGCTCTTCTAAAGAAGTGTCCAGAAGGCCATTTGCTGGAAGAGAAAATGTAACAGACTCTGTCTCTTCTTCAGTTTTGATATCATATATATCAATGATATTGTTATCTGGCTCTAGTTTATTAACAACTTCTTCTTCTTCTGTAGCTACTACAGCAGAGTCTTTATTAATATCTCCACTCAGCCTTTGTTTCTCCTTGGCATATTTATCTTCATATTTATCGAGATGAAGATGCTCGGGATGCCTCGACTCCTTATGTTGAGCTAGCTCGGTGGTGCTGTTGGCAAAAAAACCACAAATTTCACAATTTGTTATTTTAGTAAGCCCATGTAAATCTCGCTTATGCCTATACCAATTGGCAGCATAACGAGTTATAAAAGGGCAAAGAGGACATTTGAATGCTTTTTCTGAGTGAATTAAAACAACATGCCTAGCTAACATGCGACGGTTGCCAGCAACATAATGACAGGAGGTACATGGATATCTTCCTATACCAGGCATAGTGAAGAAAACAGCATGCTCATCACACAAATATCATTAGATGAGAGATCAATTTATGATAATTCACAGAAAACATGCAGAAAATTCTGTAAAACCAAGGAGAAAATATTTAATAAAACTAAATGGGTTAACATGTAATCAATCCATGCATTTCTAAACACAACCATTTGTTTTACACTAAAGGCGTTAACTACTGCAATGTAGTTAATGTTTTAAAAATTTAAATTAATAACGAAGATTTTGAAAAATAATAAGACAAATAAATGGACAATGAGCAAAAGATAATTAGAAAGAGTGGGGTATACTAAAATATTTGTCTCATATTCAGAAAATAATAATAAACGCAATTTTTAATATTCAGGAATTTTGGACAAATTTGTTTTAGTTTTTACCAGCTAGAAAAGTTTTCAATTTTTTTGATGCAAATTAATTTTATACCAAATCCTAGCTTGCAGTCCAAACATTATAATCATTATTATCCTAAATCCTAACATTTTATTTCTTGGTAGTTTTTTTAGTTACTTAATCTAAAAATAATCTTAAAAACATCATTTCTACATATGTAATGATAATTTTATATTAATTGAGCACCTTGTTGTAGAAAGAACAAAATCAAGTTCATTGTTTTAGAGGTTGTCCTTGTATCAAAACATTAAATTTAAAACTTAATGAGTCATATTTCCTGAATTACTAAAATTATCAATGCAGTCTCAAAAATATTGTCATGCGTCCACACAGTAGCAAGTGTATAAATCAAATCAAGGGTAAAATTTTCCAGCTAGAAGAAATATGCTTTGCCATTGATTTTCATATGAAATCACTTATTCCTGATGATAGAATGATGAATAGTGACAAGTACAAAAAAAATAATGACCGAAAGAATAAAGCCTGAATTAAGCATCAGGTTTCCATCCAAAAATGAAATATTTTTAACAAGTTTTGGCATTTTGTCATAGTTCTAAGCAATGATGGAATACCTTATCAAAAACAAAGTAACCTGTGATTTTATCAATTTTAATCCCACAGAGAATCTTCGGGCTATTTGAAAGCAAAAATAAATATAGTACACCCTAAATAGATAGAACAGCTTAAAGTAGCCTTATTTGTCCATTGATTCAAGTGCGGTATAGACAAATTAACAATTATTAAAAATAAAATAAAATTAAAAAAAAGTCTATCATAAAACAAGTAAAATTGGTCCTGGAATCAAAGGAAGGGCTTATTAAAAGAATGAAATACTCAATTGTTACTTTTCAAAACACATATTTGAAAATACACTCACTACTGCAATATGTCGCTTTAGTTGTTTTTTATTTCCAAAAATATTTTTTTAAAGAAAAGAAAAAAAAATAACTATTTAACACAAATATGATATAAGGAAATACCCTAATATCTGTTATTAAAAAATTTAAATGAATTATCTTTTTTCTAGTTTCAAGAAAAATTTAAGCTTCTTTCCCATCCACTTGTTATGTGAAAACGTTATGTATGTTATGGAATATATGCACAGGAATATGTTTTACAAGCTCATTTATTTAAAAATAAAAAAAAATTATAAAATATTTTATGTACCCTTTGCTTTTTGCACTATTAAAAATATCAACGACAATCTATTTAAATATTTTTTCTAACAAAGATTTATGTAAAACAATCAAGTCACTCTAATTGGTGATTCTGGTCATTTACATAATGATGTAAAATTGAATTTCTTATAAGCAATGTATTATTCTTTTAGTTAAGTTGCTTCAATTGTTCACAGTTTCTTTTTTTTCTTTTTATATTTCAAAATCATTGATGAATTAGTGATGGAATCAAAGGTAGGGGATTTTAGACAGTCAATTGTATTTCATCATTGCCTTAACGTTAGAAAAATGTATAGTTCAATACATCAGGTATAAGAGTGAGAAAAGAACAGAAAGCCTGAAACCTAGCAAATCAACTTGTGCAAAACAAATAAAAAAGCGTGTTAAACTATTTTGCACAAAAAGAACATTTAAATTATTTGCATGCTAATTTAAAGTTTTTTTTATTTACTATGTGTGTATATTGAGAGTCCAACAAACTATAAAGCTTCATCGATAAATCATGATTAAAAATAAAATAATAATAAAATTTAGAAATTTAATTTCTTCTAAAATTCAGAAGTTCTGAAGAATTTCATGTCTGATATATATCAAATTACATGTAGGCAGGGCCGGATTAACCTATAGGCACACTAGGCATGTGCCTAGGGCCTACGAAAGGTATAATCCGGCTCTGCATGTAGGTTAATTCTAAATTAGAAGTGTTAATCACAAATTAAAGTGTCTTATTATCAACCAATAGCTCAAAGAGCAACTTACTATTTAGTTGTTTAATAATATCACCCAAAGCTTAAATTTGTGGTGACCCAGCTGCTATTATTAGTTTTTTCATTTCTTGTTTTGGTCTGTAGTTTTGTATAAAAAAGCATATTTCATAAAAATTGTGAACATTACACATTCTTCAACATTATAATTTAAATATTTAAATTTACTTCATAAACTTCCTTAAATAAAATAGAGGTATGTAAATGGAATAGTGAAAATGTATATGAACTAGTGATATCTTTTTAATACTTGTTCTTTTGACAATCTTATTTTAAGTCCTGCAACACTTGCAAAACCTATCATTAAATATTGCAAAAAGGCAAATTTTTCTTCCAAAAATGTTCCAATGTGTTAGCAGTTTAATTTAGTTTCTCTGTACTTAATGCAGCAGAGTTGTACATGAGAGTGCAATAATATTACCGAACCCAATTCATAATACATGGGAAAAATTGACACAGTAAAGAAAAAATCTAATTTTTGAAAAGGGAAAATTAAGCACTTTTTAAAAACACCCAATGAAAAAGCACCTTTAAGGGCTTTACCATACCATATTTATCAACAAGACCAGTAACAAAAAGATATAACTAGATATAAATATATTTTCATAGGTCTGTTTATATGTGTTATATATAGGACTGTTTAATGAATTAAAGTGAAAAATTACAATGGGAAGACAGTGTAATGTTCACAATTATGATAAAATGAGATATTTTCTGACAAAACACAAACCAAAACAGCATATGATAGGTTCTTTAAATTGGTAACTAGTAAAGAGGGCCATTGCAAATAGTTCTATAATGGATCCAGATAGGGTTATAGGGTCAAAATATTACTTGGGTTTACTAAAAATGTTACATGGTGCAACTGTGACAGAAAGAAAATACCATTTTCAAAACTTAATAAAGAAAATAGAAGAGTGTTTCTTACATTAAAAAGGGATATGAGACCCTTAAAGACTTAAAAATATATGGAGGATATTTCCATATTGTGATCGGTCACGCCAACTACAATCGCCAAAAGGATTTCAAAACTTGCAAATACTTTTAACAAAAAGATGTAGAGGTTTACCCGTGGATGGATAAGAGTTATACCTTTTGGTCTCTTTCTGCGATAATTTTTTTAGTTTCTTGTGGGCGATTGCCTGGAAATTTACTGAGTTAGCAATTATTTTGCCACATATCACAATATGGAAATCTTACATATTCTGAAATAACTGCGGGGGGATTTCCGTATTGTGATCTGTAGCAAAATAATCGCCAAATCTTGGCAACTTCAGGGTAGCGGCCCGCAAGAAACTAAAAAAAAAAATCACTGAAAGGGACCAACTCGAAATGTATAACTCATAGACACCCCTGGGCTAACATCTACATGTTTTTTTTAAAATTTGTCAGTTTAAAATCTATTTGGCGATTGTGGTTGGCGCTGCAGATCATGATATGGAAACATCCCCATAACCGCATATAATTTTCAATTAGCTAGTGTTTGCTTTAGTACAAGTTTAAACAATTCTAACAAAATTGTAAATGCATTCCCTGATATTGTAATGAAGATGTAATTAAATCATTTCTTGAATCTTAAATGCAAGCGAGAAAAATTGGCAAAATCAAGGGGGTGTCACATAATTGTAATCATCGATATATAAACTGGATATGTTTTATATCAATTTAAGAAAACAATATTAAAAAATTTGAGTATATTACAAATATGAATGCGATTTAATATAAAAGTGAAACACAACAGTTTCTCAGCCAATGTAAACAACCAACTTAAACTGTAAAATATGTACGAGTTTTAAATTGTGTTTAAAAGCATGGATTTATTTACATAAGAATGGTTACTATGTATTAAGTGATTATTAAAAACATGCTAGTTACAAACAGATCATGCACATAATTGTAAACAACATGCAACAGTTCATGCAATAAGTTAATCATGCAAAATTAAAATATTTAGATGACATAACTAATTGATGAAACAAAACTACAACTCACCAAAATAATCAGTTACTTTCAATAATTTACAATGTTTGGCAAGTGACTTCAAGATCATGATGAATTTAATTAGTATGCAAACATTCTAAAAGAATAATTAAACATAATTAGGCTGATATATAAAAGTAAACTATTTTAAATACTAATATTACAGAATCATAACCAAAAATGCCAAATATCTAATACCAAATTAAATATACAACTAACACTGTGTAAACACTTTAATAAATGTAAACAATATAATGAAAAATAAATACACAAGGTTCATTTTCATGTAAGCGTTCTAACATAATAATTAAGCACAGTATTCTAAAATAATAATCATGCAGAGACGCTAAATAATTTTTAAATTAATAAGTAACAGTCACTATTAAAAGTGAGAAATAATTAATACAAACACTTGAGCTGTGGTCATTGTTTACAATTTTAGAGAGAATGTAAACAATGAAATAAAAAGTAAATATACCAATAAAGTAAATATATAAAAAATAAATTATTAATGGCAGCCTAAAATGAAGATATTAATAAGACAGGTAACATAATATTCAATATAATTTAAATAATAATATTTAAAATATTTACCTTTAAAAAGCAGGGTTCATAAAATTAGAACAGTTGTCAAATACAAATTACGAAGTAAACATTCAAACTCGAAGCATGGAACAATCCTAAAATAAATATATTATGAATAAAAAGATAAAATTATATAATTTAAATTGATAGAAACACTTTTATGTTTGAACAGTATTATATTATTATTATTTGAATTCGAACACTAAGTGGCTCGGCATAAAAAAAAACCCAGTAGTAATAGATGTAAATACAAATGATTGTTTTGTTTTAATTAGAATAGATAAAATAACACTAATTTGAAGAATCATCACTTAGGGAAAGTTTCATTGATAAAAAATGATCGATACAATAAAACAAATTAAAGAGCAATTTACATATTGTTTTCAGCAATTGGAATTGTATTAATGAAACTAATTGTTGATTGAAATGTTCGTTTTTGTACGTCTAAGTATGAAATAATCCTTGGTCCAGGAAAGCACAAGAGGGTTGAAGAACTGTCGATTAGCAATTCTATGGAATGAAAAACGTCATGGTATTTAGAGCATGTTGAGCAACTTGTTTTCCTGTGGTTCAAAACAGCTGTTCGAATGTAACAACAACAAAAATAGAGAAGAGCAATAATCAATTTGACCAGTACTTAAGTAATCAACAAATAAATTACCGCTAATTGATCTTACCGCTTCGATTACTTCACAGGGAATCCGCGTACACCAGCGTCTTCAGCGATATCCGGACAACTGCTGGAAAAACACGACTCATTCCAACCATCCACCTATCTGTGAGAAGAGAAGTATCACGTGACCCGTATTACTAGTGCAGCATTCAGAATTTCTACCCCGAATATCGTCTGTTCCTTGTTGGTTCTTGTAGAACTTTGGAATGAATTACGATAAGCCGTACAATCTGTACCTACTTCGTTGATGAAGGTCTTTTGCGAGCAAAAGTCCGTGAGAAAATGGCAAAACTTCTATCGTCTGAGTTGCGTGGTAGAGGTTTGAATCACCAAATGTGTGGATGGCGTTTCCTTCCACCTGCGAAGCGCAATGGCTGGCTTCTCGTGCTCATCGATTCTATGCGGGGGGAAAACTGTTTTCCTTCATAGCTTGCTGATTTGCTTCTACTTAGTTGAGGTTTATGGCGGTCGCCAACAAAATGAGTTCTTGCAATTTGCTCTCGTCATACGTCTGGAACTTCTTTGTTCAATTTGGGCTTGGTCGGCTTAGCAGATAAGATAATTTTAAGGCGAACTGAATATTCTTTTATAAGAAAGCAAAAATTCTTGAAAAACCTCATGGCATTTGCATAATTTCATTAGGTTTCGGCAATTAAAGTGAAACCCTGAGGTTAATTAATTTCTCTAAATGTTTCTATGCTTCTTGAATTAATAATCAATCTAAAACAAACAGTTTTTTTTCCATCTAAATTTACTGAAAGTGCATATTCTACGCTACTTGTAATATTACATGTAATTTTAAAACTCAGTGCAAGATTTTATGTTATTTAAATTTAATGAATTAATTGTTATATTTTTCCTTTTTCTTCTTCTTCATTGCATTAAATTCATAATGGATCACGTGGAAGTATTTCAAATCCAAAAAGAATAACAACAATTCAATTAATAAAAATACAATTTATATTCACTCTATATCTCAATGGTGTTAATCCTTGATTAATATCTATAATTAAGTATATAAATATGTAATCGTGTACCCAATCCAAGGACTTCATAGGTTGAGACAGCGTTTTTAAAATAAAAACGGGTAACTAGTATCCGCAGAAAAATATTTTAGTGATTTAGGCAATTTTTTCTTATAGCAGAGTGGATAGGATAAATTTTTTAAAATACTCGTCTTTTAAGTTTTTACTAGTTGTGGTCGAGGATTGCGTCTATCAATTTTTTTTATCAGTGGACAAATCGTGAAACAACTTTGTCTTCGTTTTAAATTTTTTATTTTATTTTTAAAAAGTCATTGTTCTAAGATTTTAGGATTCTTGGACCGCTGATTTTACTCATTTATTCCCAAATTTTAGTACTGCATTAACATTAAATTAAAAAGTAATTAAATCAATGCATTTACATTCCATTGTTTCTTCCTTTAATGATATGAGCTTCAACTTAAGATTTAAGAAAATGTAAAACACTTTGCCTAGTTTTATGCTTATATTTAATTTTTTAAAATTAATACTTAATGAAAACAATAATGTATCACCTAACCAAAATAAATGTTATTTATGCTATCATTAAATTCTACAATAACTACCTATAAATTGCCTCTTGAATCATATCTTATAGGAATTATGATTCATATCTTGAATCATGTTTTATAGGAATTATTTTATGTCAAAAGTAAGCACACATAAATTATTGACATCTTCACAATTTGTATGTTTTATTGGTCAGCATACTGTGGCTCGCGAACCACATCTGGTGATGTTTTTGTAATTCAAGAGCAGCTTTAGTTAATATAAAGTCCGAGTGCGCGTTGTTTTAGTGCTTGTCGACCACAAGTACTAACGAAAAGTTTAATGGAGTTTTCTTCTTCTTCTCGAATTTAACCACATAATAATCAGATAGTTTAAATCCATGTTTGAATTATTATATGCCGTGGTGGTCAGAATCACTTAAAATAAAATTTATTAAATAAAAATTGGAATCTCAAAGCATTAACTTTGTCTATCATTTTTTTAGTTTTATAACTTCGAATGGATGAAAGTGTATAAACAAAAACCGGCAATTGAGATTTTAAAAGTGTAGAATGATTAAAAAAAATGTTAATTAGTGTGGATTCCTTTTTAAATAATTATTTTATAGTTATACAGATGTAGTTTTTTCCTGAATTAAAAAAAAACTATTAATTTTATTCAGTTAATACTATTAATTATATTATACACTATTAATTATCTTATACATATATTTTACATTTTTTACTATTTTGAATCTAGCTTAAAATAAACAAGATTTGAGAAAAGAATAAATTAATTTTCTGAAAGAAATCTTTGAGTGAAACTGACAAGTGTCCGCATTATTTACATAAAAAGTAGTACCGCGAAAATCCTTAAAATTTGCCCATTGGCAAAAGGCCCTTCGATCAAACTATCACTTCAAATAATTTTTGTCACCATTTCAGTGTGTGTATTAAAAAAACTTACACCTATTGTAAACTAAACTTAAATACTAATATATACTAATTGTAAACTAATACTAATTGTATAATAAACTTATACTAATTGCAAACTAAGCTTGGCATTAAAAATTGAAATTTATTTAAATTTATCACATTTTTAAATCCTTCACTCGCTGATCACTTCGCTCACCTACCCTCTTTAAAAATAGCCATTTTTTTTCTCGACCCAAGACTAAAATATTATTCGATTTTTTTTCTTTAAATTATAATTGCGGATTGACAGCCTTGTGGTTAATTTCTTGAAAAGCCATATTTACTTTATTCTAGCAATTTCGAACATAACTTGCAGGATAATGTAACAGAGGCAAACTTTGAGACAAGGTCGTTTACATGGAAGATTTTTGTTTTCCAATTTGAAACTTTACTTTATTTTATGAATAAAATAAAACTTTTTGGTATTAGGTCTAACGCGAATTAATTGTTTTTAAGCCATAAATTTGTAAACATTTAACTTAAATTCTAGTTAGACTTGAAATAAATTTGAAATTCTTGAAATAAATATGTTTTCTCTGATCAAGCTGAGAAGTTAATAGTAAACAACTACTCAACTAATAGATACTAACTCAATAGCAGACTTAAAGTTTGGTGAAGCAGTGTTTAGATTTTCAGGGCCTACCTCGCCAAATGCGATAAAATCGTAGATTTGGAGAATAAAATTGGGTTTTGGCGAATAAATTTTTTGAAACCGGAAAAAAATATATACAAAAAAAAAAAAAAATCGTTAAGATTTGCATTTGGAGAGGACTTTCAAATATTGACTTCAATATTGAATATTTCAAATATTAAGCTTTCAAATACTTTTGATATTTGGCTAATTTACTGGCTAATAATTTGAAATCCTTAGCGCTTGCTCTGGAGTTTTAAAATGAAAGTTTCGCGAGCTTTGCAGCTTTATTTTAATTTTCAATATGCCTAACTACTGGAAAAATTTTAAATGCAAATATTCTTGCTAACTATTAAATAGAATTTTCAAATTTATTTTAAATAGAATTAGGTCGAGGGATTTAATTTTTCAACCTCCACAATCCTACTCTTAATAATAAAGAGTTATTACAATTTCTAAGAAATTTGCACTATTTAGGAAATTTTTTTTTGTATTATTCATACCAATAATAAAAGGACTTAATTTATTCTATGGAAGTGTATAGATGTTGCTTTGAAAAGTATTAACTTTAAATAAAACCTTTGTTTCATTATTTTCTAGTCTGTAGAAATACTTTTTTTCTTTCGAGCATTGTTTCAGGGAATTGTGCAAAACCAAGCTGAATGTGTGTTATGAAGTGTTTCTATCTGGGTTAAATTGTAAATGTATCATCAACCTTTATCGGCTTTTATCGCGAAATCCAAAGGTCTTGCAACGCGGCAATCCATATTTTGACAACTGATTAAAGAAGAAATATACCAAATATGCTAGTTGCCGGTGAATGAGACTGAAAGAAAAGAAAAAATTAAAAAGAATTTATTCAAACTAACTTCTATATTCCAGAAGTTGACATGTGTGCCTAGTCAAAAACACAGCACTATGACAAGCTGCTAAAAAAAAAAAGATTTAATTGCCTCTTTCTGAAACTCAGACAGTTTGTGATTTGCGGACTATTTAATGCGTTAAGCTGATAAAATAGCTCAATTATAGCAATAGTATTAGATATACTTTTTTTTTTTAGCGCTTTAGATGTTTTTATTTATCTAGGTTAAGACTGTGATTTTGTTGTTATAAAATGCTTCACGTTCAAGATATTCAATATTTTAAGATCTTTACATAGTTACAGGAAGTTTTTAAAATACTATTTTTTGGTGTATTTTTTCAGGGTCTTCTAACTACCATTTGTAGGTTCCGTCTTTATTAAAACAGAGTTTTTTAGTGAGTAGTAATGTTTTTTTTTCAAGAATTGTTTATGATTTGTCCATTTTTTGCCAGCGCTCTCTTTGCTAATTATGGAAATGACGAAAATGTCAATATGAAGGCTTTTGTAGTTTAAAATTTTAATAATTAAAAAAGATTCTTTAACGCGGCATTGTTTAGGATCACAAAAAGAATACGAAAATTAGAATATTCATTGGTTTTAATGATGTTCTTCTGGGAGAACTATCGATCTCATTTGTGAGGCTTATTGCCTTGTAGACGCATTGAGAAATGGCGTCAGCATTTTTCGAAATGCCGGATTTTTCAATTACCCTACAACATAAATATGGAAAAGCTGCTGAACGTCCTAATTTCTATCACATCTAATACATTTTACTATTTCTATTTAACACATTTAATTTGTTACTTTGCAATGATTCTGAAAGCCAGCATATAATTAAGTTAAATATCGGAAAGTCCTAACTATATTCTTTAAACATATTAAATATTTGTGCAGTAAAAGAATTTTTGCTTAGCATTGTAAAGTCATTTGTTATATTGCTACCACTACAATAATTTTTACCTGGAAATTGTAAAAAAATTAGGGACAATTTAATAGTTTTGAAATTGAAGCTTTGCCTAGAGATTCATATCGATTGCATTAAGCACTTCATTATGTACAGTGCCGATTCCTTAATATAGTGCGTAAAGCATTTAAACTTTTCTTTATGGCAAAAGAGTGTTGAAGAACATCCTTAAGACATTGCTATGTACTTTAAATTTGACAATCGTATTCAGAAACATATTTTTTTTTCAATCGCTTATGATTGTCATTAGAAACAGTGTCAGTCGTATGTTTAAACGTGAAAATAATTTTTAAAAAATTCTGAAAACTTTCGATGGCTGTAACCGTCACTAGCTCATCCTATTCTATTCTCTTCTCAGATAAAAAAAAAAAAGACAATTGATAAGTTATTTGGAATGTTATTTCTTTTCTTTTTTTTCTCCCCACCCCCCTGAAGTACTGAATAATTAATAAATAAGTACGTCAGTACACCTTGTACAGATGATATATTTCTTCTTTTATTCTGCTTCTCAAGGGTTTCTGT